CATCCAAACAACAAACCACAATAACATAACTATATCTCAAAAAAGCTTGTCTTAATAGTCACACAATATTCATCCCTTAATTGTGAGAGCAAATAATCTCATTATCCATCTATAACACTGGTAAATGTAAAACAACCACAGGTGAATCAGTCCCTCTTCTGATATCTATAGCTGAGAGATTCCTAGTGGAAAGTGCCATTTCTGGTTTCCAGGTCTTGTTCTTCATCCACATCTTCTTCTGGCAATTGTTGGATCTGAAACTAATAGGATCTTTGTTCTTCTCTGTGCTCTCAGAACAAGAGAAGAACATAATGCTGAGCTGGAATGGAAACATACAAATATAGACGGTTCCTGCCCACTTGTTCAACTGGAGCTGGCAATCAAATGTCTAAAATGACCTGTTTGCAAGAGCCAAGATCTCAGGTTGAATGGTGAAGAAATTGATCTTGGAAAAATTGGTTTTTCTGCTCTTGGAGTAATTCTGGGAATCAAATTGGTTTATGTGCACAGAGTTGTCTGGGGAAAAACAGATGAAGTATGGCCACCATGTTTCCCCCTTCAAGAGAAAGGAGGTGTGTGGTGGTTCAATTGTGTATGGTGGTTCAGTTGTTTTCAATCACTGTGCTAGTAGTTCACACTGTGCTAGACAGTTCTACAAAAACATCTGGGGGTTTTCAATGCCAGGTGATGTGTCCTCTTTCATGTCTTTGAAGAGCTCCCTTTTGTTTTCCTGTCCCTCTACACTGCTCTACTTTTAAACGTGTAATACTGCTCTAGAGGATTCTCTACCCAAAAAAAATAACTTTATTATCATTGCTTTTTTTTTTGGCAGAGTGGACAGTTAGTGTTCTTCTGACTAGAATAGTCACACTTTAGAAAGTAATATTGTTGTTAGAAGTGTCTCACAGAAAGTTTCTGATTACTGGTTTGTCTTTTAACACACAAAAAGAGAGTTAGGGTTAAATATTTTACAGTTTTCTGGGGAGAATCTCTCAAGCTTATACATTTTTAAGTTATTTTCATCCTATGTTTTCAAAGTCTTCTAGACGTTCAAGCATTTCTCTCCTCTAAGCCAATTTTCATGCCAAAGAAAAAATCAGTCCATGTTTAAAAATTGTTTAGAAATTTTTTGATTCAGCTGATGGTGCTTTAATTGGCTCTGTTTGCTGTTGTTATAGTTGACTGTGAAAAACGCCAATCACTTGTTTTAAAATTTTAAAAGTTTAATAGTAATACAATAGTTATTAAAAATAGAGTAATAATTATTTGGACAATCAGAGTTCAGACAATAAAGGACAATAAAAAACAAATAAATACGGACTGTCCGGGTGCCTTCCTAGGGCAATGCAGCCCTGAAAGCACCCTTGCTAACAAAGGATTAACCCTTAAAAGCAGTAGCCTGTTGCATATTCATATATCTCATACATGATGCATAAATTCTTTTCAAACAAAGGGTGTTCTCTGGTTATTGTCAACTTCTTCAACTTAATCCTGGTGGCTCCTTAAAGATGGAGAGGAGGTGGAAGGATGTTTGTCTGTTCTGATAAGGAGGCAGTAACTCTTAGGTGTCTTGTTGCTGTTATCCTTGTGTAAAGAATTTCTTGATTGTCTCATCCCTTTCTTGAGCTAGTTAAGAAAATATCCTCCTCACTGGCACTCGCTCTGGGAATTGGAGGAGAAACGTCTTAGTCTTGGTGTTGGGCCGCTGCTGCAAGGAGAAATCACTACCACCATGGAGTTCTGTCCTCCACGGGTAGTCCTACCGTAGATGAGCCTTTGCTCATAAGAGTAGTTGTTGACATGGTACCTCTCCTCCAACCCATCTCCCTGGGACTGACCATGTGTTTGGGTGCCTCAGGGGGAACCTGGGACCCAGACCCCTTACCTCCTCTGGAGGGAGCGTCTCCTGGCTGTTTGTGGGAGCCTGGCTGCCACAGCCCAGCCCTGCTGGTTTCTGCCACTGCCTCAGAGATACTTTTTACACTTAAACTTGACACCCCATGTCTACCTGACATCCCACAGGTTTTGGCACAGCTCTGGAAGGAAGCTACTGTTTTCCACCCTGGGTGTGTTTGCCTCTGCCATTCCAGCTGCTGCTTCTCAGGTTCCAGCTACGGCTCCTTTTGCCATCTCAAGGGGCACCAGGATCGGAGAGACACCCCAGGATCAGGGTTGTAAAGGGAGCCCCGTCTCCATCTCTCCTGCCCGCCCGCCATTACCCACACGCAGAGAGGCAGCTCAGCTCGCGCCACAGCGCCCCCTGCAGCCCCGGGGGAATCATCGCACCCACCCTGCCAGGCCCGGAGCCAGCAGCGCCCCTGCTGGCTGTGCCCGGAACTGCACCCAAATGGAAAGTGCCTGCGGCCGCCAGAGGCCGGGACTGGATGTTTGCTTCTGTTCACTGCGCTGCTGCTTCTGCTGTTTGCCTTGTTATACACACACATACTGGCAAAAAACTGCTATGCCTTTTCTATATCTTTGCCAAAAAGCCCCATAATTTCAAAGTTATACTAATTGTGAGGCAAGCTGGTAATAGTCTCCATTCCAAGGGGGGTTCCTGGCTTCCTTGGCAGACACCTGTCATTCAAACAAAGACAAATTGGTTGCTTAAGCCACACTGAATTTGATCGTAATTGCTTTCAAGTTTGGAGCAGATACAATTTATTTGGGCAATCTATTTCATCACTGTCATTAAAAAAAAAAAATCTTCATTGTATCTTGTCTGAATCTATCCTCTCTTGTTTAAAACTATTCCCTCTTGTCCCATCACTACAGCCTGTATTAAAAAAAGTCTTTCCCCATCATTTTTTAAGCCTTCTTTGTTTAAAAGAAACATTTTTCAATTTCACCCTTTCTGTGGTCCTGTGAAAGATGCACTTATAGATGCATTCCCATCCTTGCAGGAGGTATTTGCCTCAGGCAGAAGAGAAAATTTCCCTTGCAATGTCTGTCAGTTCTTTGCTGCAAGAGGATACTTAGAGCAATATTACCAAGAGAAGTTGCTTTTAAAAAGTTCAGTGCAACACATGGCTTTTGAGAGATGGGGAAGAACAAGCATTCTATTGGCTGTTTCCTGGTGCTTGACTAGTCTATTGCTGGCCACAGCTTGTTGATAGAGGCTGCAATCTGGGGTAGAGTAGATGGGGGAAATTCAACTGGGAAATGATAAGTAGAAGCTCTTCCCTTCTCCCTTGAAGAAACCAAAGGCCAGCGATGGAGGACTGCAAGGGATGCATGTGAAAAATTCCCTGCCAGCAATTTCTTGTCTGTACTAAACGCACCCAGATTTCCCAGACTCTCTTAACATGTCAGCTGTTCCCTTCCTTGTGTTCATGGCCCTTCCTTGCATTTGTTCTCCTCTGTCCATGTCCTTCCCAGGCTTGGCAGCCCAGCAGGGGACACATTGGTCCCCAGCCCCAGCAGCTCTGAGCTGAAGAGGATTCCTCCCCAGTGAGCAAGGAGTCAGGTACACATGCCAGGAGCATGCATGGACAAATGAGTCCGGGAAAACATGGGCCCACTGCTAAATGGGTTGGGGACCAGGTGACACAGGATATGTCAGGTGACACAGGTTAGGGCTGAGGTCCTGAATGCTTTATTCACCTCAAGCTTCAGCAGCCAGATCAACCTTTAGGAATTTCATTTCCCACAGACCAACGGGAGGAGATGGACCACACAATACCTACTCCTGACAAAAAAAAAAAAAAAAGAAAAAAAAAAAAAGTAACAGACCTGTTTTCTAGTCCATAAGAATGGATTTTGTCCAAAGACTTCCAGGGAAGCCAATGCTGAGGGCACAACTAAATCAAGAATGCACAACATCCACCTCCTTCTCACACATCAAGACCATTTGACTCACTTTAGAATGCTGTAAACGTGGCTAGGAAAGGTTCCCATTTCTCAAATCTGTGCTTAGTGTCCATGTGGAAAGAGGGCTGGGAGATGCTCCAGGTGCCACAGCAGAGATTCCCCTGATGTGCACGGTGAAGACCAGGATGGTGCAGGTGATGTCAAGTGATGGTGGAGCAGATATTGACCCTATAGCCTAAGGGGTTCCCCTTACATAAGCAACTGGATATGTACTGAGCATGTCTGGGACTCCATGCAGAGCTCATATTGGAGCCGGTTTCGGACAGGAACTGTGGTCTCATGGAAGAAATAGCCCACGTCATAGCAGCTTTTCTGGGAGAACGTGCAAGGATCAACACTGAAGCAATCTATTCCTGAAGGACAGCAGGAACTACAACCGACACTGGAGGAGTTTATAAAGAACTGCAGTCAATGCCAAGAACCAGTGTCAAAAAATTCCTGGAGAAATGTCTCCTCTGGCGTGGGCTCCACACTCTGAAAAAGGAGAAGGGCATGAGAAGGAAGAAGCCACAGAAAAAATGGATTATGAAGTGATGGTTGCATTCCTCATTTCTGTGCAATATTTGGGTAGATGAAAGGTTTTTAGATGTATCCTTTTTTTTTTTTTCTCATTATCCTATTCTGATTTGATTTACCAAAAATTAAATACATTTCTCCAAGTCCATGTGTTTGCCATTGGTGGCATGCCTGGGAAATGTCCTTGTCTCAACCTACAAGCCTTAATTGCATTATTTTCCTCCTGCCTAAGTGAGGAGTATGGGCACTGAGACAGCAGCTTGCTGTGCCTCTGGAGGACAACCAAAGTCAGCTGACCACACCTTCTCATCTCCTTCTTCCTGGTCAGGTGCTCTGTAGCAGCCACCCTTTAGAGCAATGCCATCCCTGCTGATCTGGCTTTCCTAAACTGCCTGGCTGCATCCAGCACAGCACTCTGGAAGCTACAGCAACACATCTCCATCATCCCATGGCTCTGCAGCCAAGGCACAGAGGAGAGATGAGGCTGTGCTGGACAGGAGCCCAGGCAACATGCCCTAGACCTGCACCTCCCCAGACAGCCTCTGCAGTTCCCAGGACAGATCCTCCTGCACCATAAAGGGTACCAGCCCTGCTAGCAGCCCTCCCTGCAGGGCCTTCTAGTGCCACCAAGCCAGAGGGATGTTTCCTGCACCTGCCATTGCCTGACAGGAGCTCTGGGGTGCAGCTTTTAGGAGGAAATGCTGGGACGTTTGTCTTGCTTCTCTGTTGGTTTTTGGCTCACTCAGCTGCAGAGTGGCTCCAGGGTGTGGTTGCTCCACAGTAATACGTTGCTGGGTCGCCTTGCTCTGCTGCCAGGATCTGCAGTGTGAAGTTGTTCTTGGAGTTCTCCTTTTTTCCAATAAAGCGACCTTCGAAACCTTCTCCATAGTAATAACCACCCATGGATATATACTGCATGCCGTGAGGGCCCTGACGGAACCAGTACATGTCATAGCTGCTCATATCACCTCCCTTAAGGGAGCACTGCAAGGTGACTTCAAGTCCTTCTTGCACGGTCACTTCCCTGGGCTGCTGCTCCAAGGCCACCTGGCCAGTGACTGCTGCAGAGAGCAAGAACAAGGCACAGTCACCCAAGGATTCAGCAAAGGTCAGGGCAATGCTGGTGAGCTTTGGACTGGCACTGGAGCAGTGGGAGGACAAAATCCTGCTCTTTGAAGCCAGCTGAAACAGATGGGCAGCACTGGTGGCAGCTAGCAATGCTCACAAGGCAGGAGACACCACATTTCCCTCCCTCCCTTATCCTTTCTCGCGGGAAGCGTTTTCTGATTTTCCCCAAAGAAGCAGGAAGGATTTGCACTATGAGGGAAAAAATCGATTTGTCCTTGCCAAGACAAGATGGTGAGGCACCCTCTCTCCAGTCCCATGAACTGCTCGAGGTGAGCACAGCAAAGACAAAGGCCTGTCCCAGGCAGTGGGGCTTGTGCCCTGTGCTGCCATGCTCCAGCTGCTGTGTGCCAGAGGGGCCGCAGTGCCCCAGGAGCAGTGCCCAGTGCCAGGGCAAAGCGCTGGGCCCCGAGATCTGAGTGCAGCAGGGAGGTGCCCTGCGTGTGCCCAGGCTGCAGAGGAGGCAGCTGGGCTGGAGGTGCCGAGCTCAGAGGCACAAGAGGAGCAGGGCTGCTCTCCCCGAGCTGCACAGGCATGGCTGGGCAGCTGGAGCCGGGGCACAGGTCCGGCTGCAGGCGCTCAGCACAGCTGCCCCGAGCCCTGCAGAGCCCAGGGCCACGCTCAGCTCCTGGGGCATCAGCCCTTGCCTTCACTTACCTACAATGGGCAAGAAGCCCACGCACAGGGCACTCCACATGGCCAGGCCCGCTCTGGGTGGCCTCTCTCCACCTTCTCTCTGCCTGCACAGCAGCTCTGCCCACACCTGCCCTGCCTGGCCTCTGTCACTGCTCCCAGTCCCAGCCCCTGCTGGTCCCTCCCTCTGCCTATGACAACAGTCATAGAGGGGGAGAGGTGCGGCAGGAGGAGCAGAACTTGAAGCTCCTGGTGCCCTCCTGGGTGTATTTCACACTGGGTGGTCCCAATTGTTCTGTTTAGCCCGCTCCATAATCCCACTTTGTGTGATCCTGTGAAAGAACCTCAGGCTTTCTTTGGAGTGGGTCAGTAGGAACACTAATTTAGGAAATACCTTTCCTAAGCCACAACAGCCTTATTTGGCATCCAGAGTGGGGCATGAAGGCTTGAGGTAAGAGCAGATCTGCCCAGAGTGGGCTGGAAACAAATCTGATCTCAGCATTAGTTGTATCAGGTGTGCAGGCAGTGGTGCCAAGGCTGCTTGAGCTGCTCCTGTGGCTGTGGGGCCTAACCCTGTGCCTGCTGCCATAGGTGCTCCCCAGGCTGATCTTGCTCAAGGCTGTGGGCACTGAAAAGGGGATTGGGAGGAGGACAGAAACTCTCGGCCTCTAGATCTGAACCCTGTCAAGTGTTCGAGAAATATACTGTCCCAAGGATGATCTAGCAGTGCTCCCAAGGAGGTGGAACCCCATGGCCAGAGATTCTATTTGTCATTAAAATAAAACTGTGCACAATGCCTGTCAGTAGTCCCCATGTAGTGAAGGCTTGGGTGTCTCTGCTCTGCCTCCTTGCAGGTTATGTTTCAATATAGGTCACAGAAGAGAAAGTGCCTTACAACAAGTGCCCTGATCGTGGGAGGCTTTGGCATAACCAAGAATCAACTAAGGTCCTCCCTACAGAAATCCTAGAGTTGACATCTATTTTCAAAGCTGTGCTTTTGAAGACAGACCTTCCCAAGAGCTCTGCACTCCCCAGTCCTGAATAGTTTTGTGGGGTAATATCAGGTTTCCAATACCTCAGTTCAAACCATATCTGCTGCGTGAAATATACAGCAAAGAGACAAAGACAACTTGCCTTACACTTAGGTAATTAACCGTACTCCTAATGAGTTTCTGTATATTTTAGATCTAATTCTGTCAGGAGCTTTTTAGGATTTTGGGACAGGAAATGGATAGGTCAGATTTTTCCCAGCAACTGCAGGAATATGATTATTACATTGTATTTTTAATGTGGCATAAGAAAACTGAAGGGTTCAGTGGCACAGAAAGCTATTTAGTGTTTTCCCTTCTCCTGGAGTTCTTCACATAACCATGTAACCTCCTGGAAAGGGATTAATTCTTTCATGATGTTTTTAATATTTTCTGCCACAGGAGAGAGCTCTCACCATTTTGACTTGCTCAGCAGGACAGATGTCAGATACCACACTCCGTGTGTGAGACTCACCAAGGGGCAGGAGAAATAAATATGCTAGAGGAGAAAATTTTCCTCAAATTACTTTAAATGTTTTATTGAAGATCCCCTTGTGGGTGGTCTTGTCACTGAAACTGTGGGAGAAACAAAAACTATCCAACAGCAATTTTTAGTGTTAGTGAATCAGGGCATTGCTCTATTCTGACCAAGACTGTCAAGAGAAATCATTTCATCCACACATTGCAAAGGTCGTGCAGAGAAAATCCTTCCATCACACAAGGTTCTCACTAGAGTTTTCTGGTCTGGAGCTGTTTGCCAAGGACCATGTCCAGGTGGCTTTTGAATGTCTCCAGGGACAGGGGCTCAACCCCTGGAGATTTTCAAAGGCTCTATGAGAACAATCAAACATGGACACAAATTAATCTGTAGAACAGGATAGTACTGTCAAAATGTATTGTACCAAAGGGTTCTACTTCTAATCATCCTCCATTTTTTGGCATCATGGGATCCCTTTCAGGACAATATAGTTTTTTCAGATGTCAGGAAAACTCCACATTCAAATGTGCTTCTTTGAGCAGAGGCTATTTTAATGTGGAGCACAGTTTCTCTACAAAACTCTCCTCAGCTGACACCAGGAGGCAGAGTTGCAGATCCTGTCCTCTTATGTGGAATTAACCACACTGAGAGAATCTTACTATCGGACTGGAGACAGTTCTGTTCTGTTTTGTTCAGCTGCATGTTCTGCATTGCCAATGCAAAGTGAAAAGCCGCTGCTTAGTGGGGACAATCTGGGACCCTGTCATGAAATGAGGGCTTTAGGGCAATGAAAATCTCACTGCCAGAGGTGTCAGCAACAGCAGGTTTAACAAAGATTGGCCAAAGTGTGACACAGTCCAACAGTAACGCTCCCTACAGCTTTCCTACATGGATAAATCAGGGACAGGAACAACAAATTGGAATTATTTTAGAAAGATTGAGGAGGAGGCTGGGGCAAGAATGGGCAGAGCTGTAAAAGGCAGTCTCTCCTATTGAGTCATGAGGTGCAGAAAGGACTCTGCTGCTTTGTAAACTCCTAGAGGAGGTGTGGATGGATCCAATCCTAGTCCCAGACTTCATCAAGACTAAGGGATTATAACAGCATTTAATCATTGACCTTTCTTTCTTGACCATCTGATTCCACTGGTTGTGCCTGAGGGAGTATTACCAAAATATAAATCTACCAGAGGGACTGGGAAAAGGTGTGGATTGCTTGAGGAAAACGTTGTGGGTGTCATTGGAAAATCAGGATAAAAATACTGGTGAAGGGCTCCCCTTGACTGACCTTATGGTGGTAGAATGCAGTACATGAGCATTTCACTGAATTTAGTTTTGCCATGCAAATTTCACAGAGCTTCTGCAGGGGCTGAGGCTCTTCTCTGGGTGTCTGCAGGGCCTGAGGGTCTGAGCTGAGCAGGCTCACTGCAGCACCCCTTGCTGTGTCCGTGCAGAGGCTCTCTTGAAGGCAGCAGGAGCTCAGGCAGGGGGAGCAAAGCCTTATTTCCCTGCCAGGATGTGGTTAACTTGTGTTGTCAAAAGCAGGGGAGGGTTAATGCTGCCTGGTGTAACTGAGTCAGAAATGGTGACCACAGCATCCTGCCTGTAGCTCGAGAGAGGGGCACGAGCTGGGGAAGGTGTGGGCTGATCTCTGTTAGGGAAGAACCAAGTTGTTATGGAAATTATCACTCCATCAAACCACCCCAAATTATTTTCTGGTGGCCCCTTCCTCCTCTCCCTGAGTGCAAAACAACAGCAGGGCTTCTTCTCTGCTGGTATGAGCATTTTCCTCTCTTGTAGCTTCAGCAAGGTCTCTCCTCACTGAAGCTCCTGAATGTGCCAGAGTGACCCTTCCCTGCACAAAGTCTGCAAGAGAGAAGTTCAGCCACCAGGAAATCTGCATTATCAAAGCAGTGTTTCAGATCCCAGTGGGCTTTAGGACAGTTGAATTTCAGCATTTTCCATCCCAGCTTCAGTAGACAAAGCACAGAAAACCCACAGCATTGTGGCCTAGCACAGCTTTATTTTTATCACTACTACAGGAACCTAAAATGCAGGTGCAATACATTTGGAAGATGTAATAGAGTGTTAATAAACAAATTAACATTATCTGGATGAATTAAATCACTTCCGGTCCTACAAAGCTCTTCTCATCTGCCATTCGTTCTTATTGTTATGAATTCTATTTAACAAATGCCGACTACAGGGCTTGAACTCCCTCAGCAGTGCTACTCCAGTTCCACAGGCAATAACACAACATATCTGGGAAAGGTGCTTTTCAAAGGCCATCTATCTAGAGTGAGCACTGGAGTCTTCAAAGCTATTGAAGCAGGTTGGAGACTTGTGTGCAAATGCCAGAACAGTGGGGAGATCTACTTAGCAGGAGGATGAGGATAAATCCACTCTCCTAAGTTGGCAGAGGAGAGGAAACAGCAAAAGCACTTAAAGGTCTTCAGTGTAAATCAGCTGGCCAGGCAGGAGTGAACAGCATTCAGTGTCTTCAGGGGAAGGTGCTGCCTTGTGTCCTGGCTGGTCTCTGTCAGCAGCTCTGCCCCTGCTTTTTCAAGCCCCTTTTGCTGCTGGTTCACGTTCTTTCCTGATCTTCTCTGGGTTCGTCTTGTCTTCATTCCCCATGTCTGGAAGAGCAAAGGGAGGTTTAAAGTACATTTAATGAAATTGGGCCTGTGACCCAGGGTTTGACAGCTGTGAGCTGGCTTACCTCAGAAAAGAAACAACTTGATACTCATGAGGACATTGAAGGCGATGCTCTTTGCCAGCAGGACTCTCAAACCCAGCACAGCCATGGACAGCATGTTCACTCTCTGCCCTTCAGGGTCTGCTCAGTGACCAGAAAAGAGGGGAGAGATCATGGTCTGGGTTTTCATGTTGTGATCTTGGCAGAAAGTGGGAAAAACCACAGGAGACAGTTTCAGGGAAAGGAAGAGCAGCAAAGGAAGAGCCGATAGAGAACATGGCAACAGCAGGGGAGCCCAGGGTGTCTCTGTTGCTTTTTGCTTGCTGGGGCTTGTGTGTAACTGCAGGAGCAACCTTGGAACAGCAGCTTGTGTCTGCGGAATGTGTTGTGTTCTGAGTCCTCTGCCCAGGAGAAAATACATTTCCATGCCTTTATCCCCCAGGCAGCAATGTAACTTCACATCCTGTTTGGGTAACTCACCTTGTGCTGAGGGGTCTGTGCTGTTGCAAACCCTGTCACTGGCTCCTGTTACCGGCTCTTCAGCCTCTTCTTCTGTAGCATGATAAAGAAAAGGCATTTTAAACGAAATCCACCTCTGATACAGAATTAAAGAATTCTTCAGGTGACATTTGCTCTAGGAACTGAGGAAAGTTGGGGCTCCAATGATCAGTCATTAATTCCAACGTTATCCTGTGGTGATAATTTCTCCATGCAGTTGCAGGAAACAGGAGAATTCCTGCATTGATTTTACTATATGAAAGTAACTTCAGGAACGCAAATATACTGGCACAAAATACAAAACATATTTAGCAAAAAAACCTCACAGCACACCCCACCTTTAACTTTGTGAAGGTTTTAGAAAGGCTGTTCGAGTTTGCACTGCAACAGGTTTGTTGCTGCTAAGGGTGAAATATTTAGTCATAAGGAAATTCACGTTTTGAATGAATGGATTGTCTCTTCCCTCTTCTCCCCCCAAAAAACTATCTCAAGGTGGTTAAATAGTTGAAACCATTTCTTTCAGATGCTTTGAAGCATCTTTCAGCTCTCCCTGCTGAAGTACCCAATGTCTGTCTCATTTCTGCTGGCTGCCCAGGGCAGTGCTGTCAAGAAGGAGAAGACAAAGCCCCACAGGCCACTGTCTCCAGAAACAAGTGACAGCTGTGCCACCAAACTGTACCTGGCTGTGTTGTAATTGTGCTGTTGTGGGATTTGGCCGTGCAGGTCACCTCTGTGTCTTTTGTCACATTGACCACTTTAATTGTGTTGTACAATGCCTCTGATGTCCAAATGGATGTGCTCTGCTCATATACGACCTCCTGAGAAGGCATCTCCAAGCTGATGTTCTTTGTAAGGAAGTTCCTTGCCAAACAAGCTGCTTTTCCAGTGCTTCCCCCTTCTTTCAATTTCTTTGATTTTATCACAGTGACCTGAGGGACAGAACTTTCTGAAATGTCTGTAAAGAGAAAGCAAGGTTTGGACAGGATTGATTTAACTGTGGGCTTGCCGAAATGCTGAGTGACCAAAAATTCACATGTACTCCAGCTGTGACTGATTTCTAGCATTGGCAATCATTTTTGTGGTCTTTATTTCTTACTGCTTCTTCCAAAAGATGAATTAAAGACAGAAATGATATGAGTTGCATATTTTTTAAGAGATTTACTCCCACGGGATTGCAATATCCTTTTGCCAAATCTTGTGCTTCAAAGTGAACTATTGATTTTATAATGGACCTACAAACAAGAAGTGAACTTTTATGAATGCCACTCCAGGAGTCCACTTATTCTTATTTCTCAGCAATTTAATTTAAAAACTTAACAGTTATATCTGGATTGCCTTGCATATTCATCAGACATAAGTGAATACACTTTTTACTTTTACTCTCCCTCCCAGATACCCAACAGAAATTGAACATGCATTAACTTGATTTGACCAGTTCAGTTGAATCCAAACTCTGAACAACTTAGTAAGACTAAAATTGTGCAGAAATGTTGCATAAGATCATATTTTATGCTTTTGGACCCTTCTCTGCTATCAGTGTTGTATTTTTAACTCTGACACAAGAGATAACCTTAGGAACTTGTATGCCAACTTCTGCAGACAATTTATTTCCCTTTAGACAGTCCAAACATGACTTCAAAACCCAACAATGACTATGAAAATTTTATGAAGAAGCCTGAATAAGTGGATAGATGTATGTCCCAAAGAAATTCAGAATGGTAGCAGACAGAACTTCCGTTGTGGAGTTCAAATCTTTTGGCAACACTGATAAGGGGGATAAGAATATTTTTACATATAAATTGTGTAGTTGCATGCAAAAGATTACACATAGAAAGTCCAATTAGTGACTGAAAAGCAGGAATTAGTGTCTGCATGAATTTTAGGGAGAATAAAATATTTTAAAAGGGGGAAAATGAAGGAGTAACAATTCAGAAATTGGTAATGTATAACGGATACCTACTTGGCTCCACAGTCAGTTGAGTTCCATTCCCAAAGACAAGAGCAGCAGTAACGCACAGTCAAAATGCGTAAATCAAAAAGGGCTCGTTTTGCTATTCTCCCTCTACACAGTTCCTTCCCAGGTGTTGTACCATTCTTGGCCAGAGCCTGTCAGTCCTGTGCATTCTGTGTTCTCTGAGAAGACCTTGAAAGGTTTTTCATGTGGTCTTCTCTCCAGGCTTTCCCAACAGCCAGAATACAAACAGGCTGCTTCTCTGCAATAGCTCCCTGGGCAAGATCATCAGCAAGCAATAATGTACACAGTGCAGTGGTGGTTCAGGGAGCAGAAATTTGTTTTATCTGACCCCAGAAGGCTCACTCGAATCGCACTAATTTGCATTACCTGGCAGTACCGCCATGAATTCCTACCACTGCTTGCTTCTGGAAGGGATTTGTATTTTTTGTTCAGAAAATTTATTTGGACAATAAGTTGTTCTCCTTCACTATTGTCTTATAAAGTCCCAGGATGAGCCCTATTTTCCAGAAAGTAATGGGCCTTAGCATTCTCAATGGATGTTTAATCTGGAATAATCCAACTCCAACCAAAAAGAAAACCTTCTCTGTCCTTAACTGAGGCCTCAACAGAATATGCCTGGAGAATCCCACAGTGGTACAAATGTTTGTTATTTTATGTCATTCTGAATTAGGGGAATTCTCAAAATATTTGGATAATAAAGTACTTGTTCTCTAAACATCTTAAAATGCAGATTAGTACCTTAAAATTCCTTTGTCCACCTCCATCTTAATTTTAAATGAATTTTTAGAAATAAGGAAACATCACTTACTTGGCACAACTGTGAGAGTTGTCCCTGGTCCAAAGAGAAGCTTATCTGTCCACACACTGCTAAGACTTATTCCAATAACTCACTCTTTCCTCATGGTGTTCAAAAGTGTTTTAAAAACAGGTGATGAAAACCCATTTGTCTTAGTTATCCGTGGGTGTACATCCACGATAGGATCCAGAGGTACACTTATTTCCAAAACCAGAAATGGAAAAATATTAATTTAATTGTTCAATTATTTCAAATAGCTTTATTGAGTACAGAATTTTCAAATTGTCCCTTTCTTCCACTTTTTAGAATCCCTATGAGCTTTTTTATCTTTCCAGGGTAAAAGGGAATATAGGAAGAATGCTGTACTTCTCTTCTTAATCACTAGAGTCACCCATCTCCTTTCTTTCCCAAAATATCTCACCTTTTTCACCTCTCTTTGTTTTTGTACAGGTCTCTATGCCGTTTATATCATTGTGGTACTCCGGCCCCTGTGCACAGTGATCTATTTCCTTGTAAAAACTGTCTCTGTTCCACTACACGGAATTTTGGATTATACAGGCAGTCACATGACTTCTTCAGTGGTTTGAGATCCAACGTACCACATAAGAAACACCATATGGCTTTCAAGGAAGGATTTAAGATAATATCAATGAGGTTGCGTTGTAAATGAGAACTTGGGGCTAACATGGCCCCTCTGAAAGGTCTGAGGGAGTTAAGCTGGATATAAAGCGGGAAAATAATCATTACTTTTCTTGTCATATCAAAGCCTTTCTAAAAATTCTTCTGACTTGCTGAAAGCTCCACCCTTTCCCCCCTTTGTTTCATTGCTCAGAAGCAGAAGGAATCTGCCCTCTGGTCTCTTAGAATCGGCGTCTGGGGGTCATTTAGTACTTTAGATTGTCTTTATGGTGTTTTTGGTAAGAGGTGAAAGTAGACAAAATTATCTTTCTTGTGTAGGAGGCACTGAAACCTTGGGAGTGAGATCAAAGAGTAATGGAGATGTTTTACATTGATCAAATCCTTCATGATATTCAACTTCTGTATCATAAACCATTGATAGCCAGAGGTAGACTCAACTTTTGAGACTCTGCAGCTTCAAGAGCCCATCCCTGTCTTTTGTAACAAAGGAAGGGCTTGTTGAGTCTGTGCCCATCAGGAAATGTTGGTATGAAACAGATGAGGAACGATATGAACAGGACAGGCTTGAAAATAATGAAAAACCAAAAGGCTGAAAGGGGTGCACTGTGAGAGTGTGCACATACATGAGGAATATCTGTGGGGGAAAAGAAAATCCTCCGTGAAATTACTGTGGCTGGGTGCCTCTTTACAGCGCCTGTGCAGAAGCACATGGAGTAGGGGAATACACACAAGACATTAGAGCTCCACCAGTAGGTGCAGGGCAATGACCTTGTGGACAGCAGAGAGAAGTGGTGGGACAGCTCTCATGACCCAGGAAGGGAAATGTGTTGTTCAGTGTAGGTCAGGGCACATGACCTGGGCTTCTCTCCAAGAGAGGATGCTGGGTTGGGTTGGGTTGGGTTGGGTTGGGCTGGATTAGGTTGGGTTGGGTCGGCTTGGGTTGGGTTGGAAGGGTGCATATGTATCATCTACTTCCAATCCCTCAGACATGGTCAGGAGCCTTCCACTGTCCCAAGTTGCTCCAAAGACAGTCCATCTTGGCCTTGAACATTTCAAGGGATGGGGATGCTCTGGGAAATATATGCCAGAGCATCACCACCCTCACAGCCAACAATTTCTTCCCAGTATCCCATCTAATCATGCCCTCTGGCAGTGGGAAGCCATTCTGCCATGTCCTGTCACTCCGGGACCTTTTCCAAAGTTCCTCTCCAGCTCTCCTGGAGCCCCTTAGGCACTGAAAGGTGCTCTCCAGTCTTCGAGTTCAAACTCTGCGGGCTGGAGGCAGAGCTGTGGGATCATGGAGATGTGGTGGGTGAGCTCCCAGGAGCATTGGAGTGACTGAAGCCAGGCTTCAGGGAAGACAGGCTGGAAAGGCAACGAGTGGGCACTGCCCTTTCTCTGAGGGAACTGCTGGAATCTGTGCTTTGGGATGTCCGGTAAGCCAACTGACAGTGGCTGGGTCAGGATCAGAGGCCACATCAGCAGCAGGGACACTCTGGTGGATTGTTGCTACTACACATCACCTGTGAAGAGAGGAAAACAGTCCTTTTTCCTATGCCTAGAAATAAGGAGAGATAATATAGAATAATATCTGTAAATAGAATAACATCTTAGCCAAAAATTAACCCTGTTCTTGCAGGAATCAGGACAGATGTCAAGTCCTAAACCTCAACAAGGCAATTCTAGGAAGAAGTTATTTGTCTAACACTTGGATATAGCTTAGGGCTTGTTGGCTGCTCTCTGTTTCACAGCCTGAGTCTCCCTTCTTGTTGATTAGGTTTGAAAGCATACAAAGATCAAACATCATACTTAAGAAAAGCTTGTATCTTCCACATTTTGCAACAAATGGAAACATATAAATATAGAAGATTCCTGCCCACTTGTTCAACTGGAGCTGGCAATCAAATATCTAAAATGACCTATTTGCAAGAGCCAAGATCTCAGGTTGAATGGAGAAGAAATTGATCTTGGAAAAATTGGTTTTTCTGCTCTTGGAGTAATTCTGGGAATCAAATTGGTCTATGTGCACAGAGTTGTCTGGGGAAAAACAGATGAGGTAGGGATGCCATGTTTCCCCCTTCAAGACAAGGGAGGGACTCAGTTTGTGTGTGGTGGTTCAGTTGTTTTCATTCACTGTGGCATGTAGTTCACACTGTGCTAGACAGTTCTACAAAAACATTTGGGGGTTTTTCAGTTTTCCGGTGATGTCTCCTCTTTCATGTATTTGAAGTGCTGGTTTTTATTTTCCTCTTCTTCTACATTGTTCTACTTCTGAACATTTAATACTGCTCCAGAGGATGCTCTATGCAAAAAATAACACCTGGTCATGGATGCCTTGGAGACACTACAGGTGATCATAGAAAATTAGATATTGAAGGTGAAACAGTAAGTCACTGTCCATCCACGATGGACAGGACAGCTAAAAGCAGTGATTTGAAGTGAGCTGGAATATCTCCTTGAGGAAATCCCTGGGCTTCTGACACCTACAAGAAAAGAGGGAGCTGACCAAAGAAATCAAGTGGTATCTTTGTGTTTGTGGCTTTTGGCAGTGCTGTTTTGAATAGCTCTGAGATTCACTACAGCAATTCTTCCATCGAGACAAAGTGGGGAATTGGGGCAAAGCCTGGGGACGACTGCCTGACCCTCTGGCATCTGTAGCTCCTGTATGGGATGTCTTGGGCACTGTGCTCAGGAACGAGCCCATGGATGCATTTGCACAGGTCTTCCATGAAAGCCTACACTGTGCATTCATGAGAAAGAAATGAATGCACAGTGCTCAGAAGAAAAACGCCTGTGTTTATTCACATGGAGCCAACTCTAGGAGTGCAGGGAAGGAGTTTTTCATCATGTCCTGGGAAAGTCCATCTTAGCAGTGCAGTTCCTGGTGCAGTGCTGCTCTTTCCTCAGATACAATTAATTGACTATTGTTATGTGTTGCTGCAGTGTTACTGTGAGGCTCCCTAAACATCATGAAGTATTCAAATGCAGTTGAGTTCCACCTTTCCATGCTACAACTGCAGCTCTTTCAGTGCCCATTGTGTTTATTTGTCATGGTTTAACCACTGATGGCAACTAAGAACCACATGGCTTCTTCCTTCTTTCCCCTTCATTGAAGTGGGGAGAGAATTGGAAAGGTAAAAGTCAGAAAAATCATGGGTTTAATAAATAACTAAACACTTTTATAAATAAAGCAAAAGCTGCATGTGTGAGCAAAGCAAAGCAAGGAATTCATTCACAACTTCCAACTGTTAGGCAAAAGTCCAGCCTAATCCAGAAAAGCAGAACTCCATCACACATAGTGGCTACATATCCACCACCTTCCTTCTTCTTCCCCATCTTTACATGCCAAGCATGATGTCCTATGGCCCAGAGTACCCCTTTGGTCAGCTGGGGTCACCTGAATCAGCTGAGTTCCCTCCCAGATTTTGTGTACCCTCAGCTACTCACTGGTGGGTGGAATGAGGAGCAGAAGAGGCCTTGACTCCATGTAAGCACTGCTCAGCAATAACTCAAACATCCCTGAATTATGCACACTCTTTCCAGCACCAATTCAAAACATAATCCCATTCCTGCTACTATGAAGAAACTTTACTCTACTCAAACCAAACCAATCACATTCTTAACAAACAAACAAACCAAAACATCCTCTTTCCCTGGTTCTTTCTGCCTGTGGGAGATACTGAGAAGGAAGGAAGGAGTTAACATGTTAATGGTTTGGGGTTTGCTTGTGGGACACTACTGTTGTTATTGCTGTAGCACCTCTGCATCTGTTTCTGCAAAAAAACAGCCCAGACTTGTCTTGAGAAGTCTGGGAAGAGCGTTGCCTTGCAGCAACCACAAAAGATATGGCTAGATTAAGGCCCCTCCTTCCAATTCTGCCCTGGCCCTGCCTGTGTTTCAAGCACAGTGCCCTTTTCAAGTTCTCTCATGCTGCAGAAATAGGTGGCTGTGTCTGCAGCTACTGGAGAGAGCAGTTGCAGCCACAGCTGGTTCCTGGAGGTGTCTGCAGAGCTGTTGACTCGGGTCTGGAAGGATGAAGCGATGTGCTGGAGCCGTGTGAAAGGATACTGCATCACTAGGTGCTGCAGCTCTTTGCCGGGAGTCTGCCGGATCCAGTCCCACGCGTAGTTGCTATCAGTGATGGCTACACCAGAGATGTGACAGGTGAACCAGACAGACTCTGAGATCTTTCCTACTGTAGGGCCTGAGGCCTCTGTCTTCACCCAAGAAAGGCCACCTGCAATCCAGGAGACAAGGGTAAACAAAAAGCAACAGCTTAAGCAATCAATCTACTCCGCCATGTCCGCGTGGTTCTTCTTGCGATGTCCAGGATCCAGCAGCTGCAAACCCATCTTCTCAAAAACTCTTGCTCCCTGTAGAATCTCAGATCACACACAGCCTCCTGATTCTCCCACTGAGCTCCCTAATGACCCTTTAGAATCCCCCATTTCCTCTGTTCACCCCTCAGGCAGCAGAACCCGTGGGCTGGACTGAGTGGACATGAGCTGTGCCCAAAACCATAGCAGGACTATTCACACACCTGACCCTTTGGATTGGGTACCTGTAATGCTGGAAACCAATGGAAACGGGGAAATTACTTCAAAGCTGAAGTGAGAAGTGAGTCAGCATGACCCATGGGAAGAAGATAAACATACAGGTTTAGAGCTCATTTGGGGAGAGCAAAAGGTAGGATGTCCCTGTTAGAATCCAGCATTTGAAAACTCTGTGATGTGTCTACAGCAAGTGTGAGCATCAGGGCAATACAGGCCCCTTCCAGCTCTGAAGCAGAAGCTGAGATGCTGACAGATGGTTTGTGTTCAACCTCAGCTGGATTTTGTGTCTCTGTGCGAACAGCACAGAAGTAACGGGCACCGTCCCCGGCATGGAGGAGATGCAGGCTGAGAAATGCCAGGGAGTGGGAATTGTTCCTGGAGGCTGTGGCTCGACCTTCCAAAGCTGACCCAAATTGAATCTGTGATGAGTAATGGCTTATCCAGGACACCCATTCGAATCTGCCTCTGGGTGCCTGACGGTACCACCGAACATAATGATTCTCGAAGGTGAAGCCGGACCCTCGGCAGGAGAGGGTGACGGAGTCCCCGGGCGCTCGCAGCCCTCCGCCGGCCTCCTGCAGCCTCAGCTGTGCCCAGAGCCCTGCGGAGGGAGAGCGCAGGAATCGGGCAGGGCACGACCGCGGACCGAGGGTGGGCACGGGCGTTGCTTGTGGGCAAAGTCTGGAAACCAGTCTCACTCGACTCTCTTGCCCTACTACACTGCTTCCCTCCACACCCCAGAGCTCCCCACTGCACCCCCACAAGCCCTGCATCATTCTTCCCATGTCTTCCATCCTATTCTTGCCGGGTTTTCCTGATGTGCACAGTGAAGAGCATCATAGTGATGCAGATTGTCCCTCTGTAGACCATGGCGCTTGATGGAGCAACAGATACTGTCCCTGCAGGCAGTGCAGGACCCCACATAGGAGCAAGAGGACACGGCCTGAAAAAATCTGTGACTCCATGGAGAGCTCCCATTGGAGCAGGCTCCTAACAAAAGCTGTGGTCCCATGGAGTGAGTAGCCCACACCAGAAGAGGTTTTCTGGCAGGACCTGTGTCCCACAGGGGAGCCAGAGTGCCACGGTCTGTTCCTGAAGGGCTGCAGCCCATGGAAAGGAATCACTGTGCTGGAGGAGTTTGTGAGGAACTGCAGTCAGAGAGAAGAACCTGCACTGGAGAAGTTCCTGGAAAACAGGGTTGCACTCAACACTGAAATGGGGAAAGAGAATGAGACAGAAGAAAAGGCAGAGAAAAAAAAGTTTTGAACAGATTGCAAAACACATTCACCATTCCTGTACAGTGATCAGGTGGAGGAGATGTTTAATAATTTGTTCTTATTTCTCATCAACTTACTCTGATTTTGATTGGCAATGACTTAAATTCCATTCCCCAAATCAATGTGTTTGCCCATGGTGGCACTGCTGGGACATCTCCCTGTCCTTATCTCAACCCACAAGCCTTAAATGCATATTTTCCCCCACATCTAATTGCAGAGGACAACTCAAACAGCAGCTTGCTGTGCCCCTGGAGGACAACCAAAGTCAACTGACCACACCTTCTCAACTCCTTCTTCCTGGTCAGGTGCTCTGTAGCAGCCACCCTGTAGAGCAATGCCATCCCTGCTGATCTGGCTTTCCTAAACTGCCTGGCTGCATCCAGCACAGCACTCTGGAAGCTACAGCAACACATCTCCATCATCCCATGGCTCTGCAGCCAAGGCACAGAGGAGAGACGAGGCTGTGCTGGACAGGAGCCCAGGCAACGTGCACTAAACCTGCACTTCCCCAGACAGCCTCTGCAGTTCCCAGGACAGATCCTCCTGCACCATAAAGGGTACCAGCCCTGCTAGCAGCCCTCCCTGCAGTGCCTTCTAGTGCCACCAAGCCAGAGGGATGTTTCCTGCACCTGCCATTGCCTGACAGGAGCTCTGGGCTGCAGCTGCTAGAAGGAAATGCTGGGAGATCTGTCTTCCACATATGTTGGTTTTTGGTTCACTCTGCTGCAGAGCAGCTCCAGGGTGGTTCGTGCTCCACAGTAATATGTTCCTGCATCCCCTTGCTTTGCTGCCAGGATTTGGAGAGTTGTACTGGAGCCCTCCACTGATCCGACAAAATTTTTTTGGAAATCTTCTCCATAGATATCACCCTCCCGGTAAATAAATTTGAGAGAGCCCCCTGGGCCCTGATGGTACCAGTACATGTAGAAGAAGCTCCTAGCTTCTCCCTTCATGCTGCACTCAAAGGTGACTTCACCTCCCTCTTGCACGGTCACTTCCCTGGGCTGCTGCTCCAAGGCCACCTGGCCAGTGACTGCTGCAGAGAGCAAGAACAAGGCACAGTCACCCAAGGATTCAGCAAAGGTCAGGGCAATTCTGGTGGGCTTTGGACTGGCACTGGAGCAGTGGGAGGACAAAATCCTGCTCTTTGAAGCCAGCTGACACAGACGGGCAGCACTGGTGGCAGCCAGCAAGGCTCACAAGGCAGGAGACACCACATTTCCCTCCCTCCTTTTCCCTGTCACACAGGAAGCTTTTTCTGATTTTCCCCAAAGAAGCAGGAAGGATTTAAACCTGGGGGGATCAAATTCCTTTATCCTTGCCAAGACAGGATGGTGAGGCACCCTCTCTCCAGTCCCATGAACTGCTCGAGGTGAGCACAGCAAAGACAAAGGCCTGTCCCAGGCAGTGGGGCTTGTGCCCTGTGCTGCCATGCTCCAGCTGCTGTGTGCCAGAGGGGCCGCAGTGCCCCAGGAGCAGTGCCCAGTGCCAGGGCAAAGCGCTGGGCCCCGAGATCTGAGTGCAGCAGGGAGGTGCCCTGCGTGTGCCCCGGCTGCAGAGGAGGCAGCTGGGCTGGAGGTGCCGAGCTCAGAGGCACAAGAGGAGCAGGGCTGCTCTCCCCGAGCTGCACAGGCATGGCTGGGCAGCTGGAGCCGGGGCACAGGTCCGGCTGCAGGCGCTCAGCACAGCTGCCCCGAGCCCTGCAGAGCCCAGGGCCACGCTCAGCTCCTGGGGCCATCAGCCCTTGCCTTCACTTACCTACAATGGGCAAGAAGCCCACGCACAGGGCACTCCACATGGCCAGGCCCGCTCTGGGTGGCCTCTCTACACCTTCTCTCTGCCTGCACAGCAGCTCTGCCCACACCTGCCCTGCCTGGGCCTCTGTCACTGCTCCCAGCCCCTGCTGGTCCCTCCCTCTGCCTATGACAACAGTCATAGAGGGGGAGAGGTGCGGCAGGAGGAGCAGAACTTGAAGCTCTTGGTGCCCTCCTGAGCATCTCTCACCCTGTGTGGTGCATCAACAGACTGTTTGTTGGGCAGAAAGTGCTGTGGTAGGCTAAAGGTGTCCTGTTTCTGAGGGACCATCCTGGCCTTTCTCTCAGGAAGTCTTGCCCTCTGCTGCTGGGACTTTGGAGCTGACCAGGGCAGCTGTCAGCTTGTCCTTCCCCTGGCCCCCTCGCCCTGGCTCTGCTGAACTGCTGCTCCCACATGGGGTGCCCCAGGATCTCAGCTCGGCTTGGCCAGGGCACCCCTAATCCAAAGTGCTCCTCACCCTTCCCCCTGCACTCTGGCCCAGCACCCAGTGATGACACTTCTCCAGCTGCCTCCTCCTGTCAAAGCCCTCCCAGACCCCTGCCCAGCAGCAAAGGCAACCCAGGACTCTGCAGGGACCAGGATGCTCAGCAGAGCCAGGACACTCCCTGCCCTGTGTCCTCCTGCTCAGCAGGAGCCCAGGGTTCTCCCTGTGGCTACAGGAGGGGACAGCTCTGAGCCCTGACAGTGGCATTGTCCTTCCTGACTGCCACCACCCTTCTGGGGAGCATTGCCCCACTCCACATAATCCCACCACATACTGAATCCATTCCCTCCTCTCTCTGTTTCTGCGTATTTGAGATCTCCAGGACTGGGGTGGGAAAGAGGAGTTGGAGAGGGTAAAGGAGCCCAGTGAGAATGGAGGCTTGAGGATGGGGAAAGAAGCGGAGGGATGCAGGCCCAGGGGGAAGCAGGTTGTCCTGGGACACATGAGGCTCCTCCAGAATGTCAGTGGTTACCCTGAGATTAGCTCCACTGTTTAGAGGATAGTGTTAATAGTGCCAGTGATTTGGTACCTGTACGTGGGTCATGCACTTAAGAGTTGGATCCTTAGTGATCATTGTGGGTCCCTTCCAACTCACAATATTCTGTAATCCTGTGATATGCCAAGTTCCATAGACACCCAAGCCCATGGAACATTGGTCTGGTTTGGAGAAAAAGAGACTTGAGGGGCTGTTTCTTCCTTTTCTCAGCTTGGTGAGGAGGGGAAATGGAGTGGGATGTTCTCCCTGGTATGCAGTGAAAGGATGTGGGAATGGCTCAGAGCTGCATGAGAGCAGGTTAAGGGCGGATTCTAGAAAGTGATTCTTTATTGAGAGTGGTCAAACATTGGAACAGGTGTCCCGAAGAGGTGGTCAATGCCCAGGAAGGTTTGTGTTAAAGCTCATCTACATTTCCCGTCCCCGTGTGACGGCACAGAAGTACCGGGCAGAGTCCTGACCTTGCAGGGACCGCAGAGAGAGAAAAGCCTCGGATCGGGAATTGTCCCGGGAAATCTTGGCCCGACCCTTCACGGCTGCCCCGTAATCCTCCGTAGTGCCCCTGGGGGAGCTGATATAGGACACCCACTCCAGCCGGCCTCCGGGGGACTGACGGTACCACAAAATTACATAATCCTCGAAGGTGAAGCCGGACCCTCGGCAGGAGAGGGTGACGGAGTCCCCGGGCGCTCGCAGCCCTCCGCCGGCCTCCTGCAGCCTCAGCTGTGCCCAGAGCCCTGCGGAGGGAGAGCGCAGGAATCGGGCAGGGCGCGACCGCGGACCGAGGGCGCTGTCCCGGTGTCCGGTACCGCCAGCCCGGCACCGCCACAGCCGCCAGCCCCGGCCCACAGCCCCTGTCCCTGAGTCTGCCCCAGCCTTTGCCCGTGTTCCCTGCCCTACCTCTGCTCCTGTCCTTTCCCCAGCCTCTGTTCTTGTCCCTGTCCCTGTTGGTGCTACTGTTCCTGCCTGTCCCTGTCGTTGTCCCTCATTCCCCCAGCCTGGGCTCGCTGCCCTCCCCGCCCGGCTCTCACCTGCCGGCCACAAGGCCAAGGCCAAGGCGAGCAGCCCCGGCCCCGGCCCGGCCAACATCGCTGCGGGCCCGGCCCCGCGGCAGCCGCACAGGAGCCGAGCGGAGCCGCGCTCGGGCCGCCGCCGCCCGGCCCCGCCTCGCCGGGGCAGCGCCGGCGCCTCCGCCCGCCCCGACACACCCGCCCCGGGCCCGGGGGTGTCTCAGGACAAGGGGCGGACTCAGGTGAACGGGGACTCGGCGAGGGACTCTGGCAGCTGCGGAGGCAGAGGAGCCCCGGGAGATGAAGGCTGCTGTCCCAGGGCTACCAGCGCGCCTGCATCGCGGTCCCGGTTTCTTGCTCTGGGAGCCCTTTCAAAGATGTCGAGTCCTCCGTACTTCTAAGAAAACCCTGCCAAAATTGTAAATACTACAATTGTATAGAACATCAGCAGGCTGGGAATCTGTGCAGTCTTGTGTGTCCTGAGTGGTGGGGTTTCCAGCATCACCTCACACGTAATATTTCCTAACTTCCTATCACCTCTCCTGGGATGTTAATAAAACAATTCTCTATTCTGAGAGGTTCAAGTAATACTTTCTAGCTTTAGAGAGATGCAGCATCCCGTAAGGCAAAATGTCATGCATGCAGCAGGGAGGGTCTTCAGGAATTCAAGGAAGGGGAATAGTCTGGAGAAAGGAGACTCTCAATAACCTTTGAATGATCATGGTATTTTGGTGAGGTACCCTATGACTGCTGGAGGCAAGAAAATGTCACTGCTATCTGCAAGAAGGACAATAAAGAGGACCCAGGGAGCTTCCCTCAAGCCCTGAGATGCTGATGGAGCATCTAATCCTGGAAATAATTTCCAGGCACATGAAGGACAAGAATGCAGGATTCACCAAGGGGAACTCACACTTGACAGGCTTGATAATGAACTTCTCTGCTGAAATGACTGGCTTTGTAGGTGAGAGCAGAGCAGTGCGTATTGTTTGTCTTGACTTCAGGAAGGCTTTCAACACTATCCTTCAAAATAAGGTCCTTCTAAGAGAAGCGGATGAAGTCTTCACTGAGTGAGTAGGTGGTGATCTGGACAGAACAGTGGACAGAGGACTCCTTAGAGTTGTGGTCAGTGGCATGAAGGCTATTTGGAAATCAGTTTCTAGGAAGGCACCCCAGGGGTCAGTGTTGGGTCCAGCCGTGTTTAGCATCTTTAGCCATGATCTAGAAGATGGAAATAAAGATGAACCCCAGCCAATTCTTTAATGAACCAAGAGTAGTAGGAGGGGCTGCTACACAGCAGGGTTGTGCTGCCACCCAGAGGGACCTCAGCAGGCTGGAGAGATGGAACCTGAGGCACCTCAAAACGCTGTGCTAATTTTCAGTGGGATAAAGTTAATTTTTTTTCAGTATTGCTGATGGCACAGGCAGGGGGATGTTTGAGCTGTTGCTCAGTAGTGCTCACAGAACATCAAGGTCTTCTCTGATTTGCATACTTCCCCAACAGTGAGTAGGCTTGGGATGGACAAGATGCTGAGAGGAGAAACAGCCAGGACAGGTGATGCCGAATTAGGAAAGGATTTTTCCATACAGTAATACACGATTTTCAGAACTAAGACTCAGAGAAAGGAGGAGGAAAAGGACTTTTTGGAGTTATGGCATATGGCACCCCCAGTGCAGCCTCACAGTGTGAGAATAACTAAGCACCGGTGCAGGTTGTCCAGGCCTCTTGTGGAGTCTCCATGCTTGGAGAAAGTCACAAACTGTTTGGTTATGGCCTGAGGGAAGTGGAGCCTGTGGAGAAGTCAGGCTAGAGCTGCTTGATTCTGCAGGAGCCATATGAGAACTGTAGGAATTTACCCCTTTCCCACTGTGCCTTTTGGACAGAAGAGGGAGACAAATCAGGAATGCAGGATTGAAGGCAAACCCTTGGCAGGACCAAGGTGTTTTACAGCTTTTTGATGTTGTTGTCACTCACAATTCTACTCTGTTTTAATTTGGCAATAAACTAGAATCCTGGCAGTGTGCACTTAAAGCCAGGAACACCTGCCCTTGATCTGACTCCTTGGGAACACATCTGAGACCCATCAACTCCAGGCTCCTGGGCTCTTGGTGGCTCTCTCACCTTCCTGACATCTAACACAGCCCGTGCCAGGTCCAAGCAGGTTTGTGGAACAACCCAGCTGGGTTTTCTATTGCTGTGTGAATGGCACAGAAGTAGTGGGCAGAGTCATTGGGGTGCAGAGCCACCAAAACCAGAGATGACTGAGACTGGTAATTGTCCCGGGAGGCTGTGGCCCGACCCTTCACGGCTGCCCCGTATGTCTTTACATTCTCCAGCGTGTGATAAAGGACACCCACTCGGTGGGTGCCTGCTGGGACTTCCACTTAGGGAAAACAGGAGAGGTACAATGGGATATGGTAGGGACATGGTGGGGCTGCACAGACCTGCTTGAGCTCTCAGGCACAACGTCTCGCTGTCATCCTTCCTAGGGTGGGAAATAATCCGAGAAACATTAGAGTCTGCAAACTAAAACTGCTGTGAATTCACAAACCCCAACTTTCCCCACATTTTCCTGCCAGTATCCTTGTTGCTCCTGCCTGACCCACCTTCACCCCATGCGATGCTGCAGTCAGCCTTTGCCATTCATCTGACTTGTGAACCTAAAAGCTGAAGGTTGATAAAGAGAAACCAGTCAAATTTCCAGGGCACCCTCAGAGTCTTTTTCTGTTGTTCTGTCCAGGACACAAGAAGATATCCCTCAGGTCCCAGCAGTATGGTGATGCCCAGTGTACTGCAGGTAAGGTTTCCTGGTGGGAAAACCTCTTGTGAGCAACAGGACCACCGTGGCTCCAGGAGTTCTCCTCATACAATAGGCCAAGTTGAGTTCTGCTGTGGCCCTGGGATGCCTAAACCAACTTGCCTTTGCGTTTCCAACTCTACCAAACAGTGAGCCCAATCCAGAAAAACTCTTATCATGATCATCATCTTAATTTTTGTCTTCAATCAGTTTTCATTATCTGATGATCTCAAGGCACTGTATTAAATATACCAAACCTCTCGCCTCATGGACTGCAGTGCTGTTGGTTGCTTAGGTATTTCATAGTTTTAGTAGCTTTTCTCTTCATTAGTATTTTCCAAAGTAGCAGACTTGATGCTGGCTGGGTGTGGGAGGATCTCATCATTTAACCTTGTGCAGCACAGAGAAGGTTACCCTGCCCAGTGCTGGGGCCATTAAGGTAAAAGCTGCTTTTGTCTTCTTTGGCTGCTTTGCAAAGAGGAGCAAGATGAGGGTCTGTGATCCATTGGGTTCTTGTGTCAAGGGCTAGGGCTTGCCAGGAGCAAAGCAGAGATGTGGATCCCCTGGCTCTGCCCACAGCTTGGTCAAGGCTTTGGACAGAATGCCCCAGCAGCACTGGATCCTGCAGTGTCAGCTCCCTGGAAGTGCAATTGGATGTTACATCCAGATATGGTGATTGTTTTCATGAGGGAGTATGAGGAAGTAAGAAAAATAATGTTTCATCTCATCTGCAAAGAGTCCCATGGTCCTGCCTGAGTCACTGCTCTGAATACCTCTGCACAGATGGAGACTGACAAAAATAGGCAGGAGTTGGGATGGGAAAAGTTGTAAAGGCTGATATAAGGAGAGGATCATTTCAGGCATGAAAACACAGGTGAGGCTGGAGGATGTAGAGTCTCACCCCTCCTGTGCTGTTGGTGACACAGATTTTGTACGAACGGAAATTTAGCTTAGCTTAAGGTGGAGCCTCAGACCACAGTAGTAAATCGCAGTGTCCTGAAGAGAGACTTTTGCTATTTCTAAGGGGGCTGTGTTATTTTTGTAGACCACCATAGAGAATTGGCCTCTGCGGTACTTGTCATTCCCTGTGGTTTTGTGCCCTTGCAGGAGAAATGTCAGAGTATGTCCCGGGAACTGGCGGTACCAGAAGAAGTACAGATTGGTGACACTCTGCTGAGCGGTGGACTGACAAGGAAGAACCACTTGCTGTCCAACTTTGACTTGCACCTCAGAGAAGAATTGCTTTGGGGGATCACCTCCAACAAGACCTGCAACACAGGCATAAATGTGTCTGCAAAGAAGTTTGCTTCCTTCTCTCACTTGCTCTGTGTTTAAAACTCCCCCAATCTTTGCTGTTTTTCCAAAGAAACGGAAAGTTCAGCTATCTGCATCCATCCCCCTTCCATATTTCTCCCTGACCTCATGGTCTTGTTGGTAGGCACCTCTAAATAACTTACTAAAAATCATGAGAGACAACAGGAAGGACACGAATACACCCACCTGACTGGATTAGCAGGACACATGCTGGCACAGCCATGGTGAAGATCATTTTTCCCGGCTCAAGAATCCTTTTCCTTCACGAGACTCTCAGCACCCAGCAGAACACTCTCAGTAGCACAATGGAAAGGCACCACCCTGCAGAGAGACTGCAGTGCGTGTGTGACACAGTCACACCTCTGCAGCGTGGAGGGCTGGAGTGAGGCCCATGCACCTTTTGCCTTTTCTTGTCTCCACAGCAGAGAATGGACAGTCTCAGATGTTTCCCGTGCTTTTCCTTGGGTTTCCTTCTTGGTTCACAGCATTTACTGTGCAAGAAAACCTCTCTGCCTCGCTGCAGAGTGTCTGTTTTTGTGTGCTCCTTGATGGTAGGCAGGCTTCTAAAAGCACAACAGCTCCTCAAAGCTGCATCGGAGCATTCAAGGCTCTGGGAACACAGGTGTCATGTTCTTTTCAAAGAGTTTTGGGTTTCTCTTCTGTTTCGCCTCTGATATTTTGAGAGCAGTTGTTCAGTGTTTCTCCACACATGACAACTAAGGAGACAAGGGAGGAAGTTGAGTGGTGGGGAAAGGGTATTTTAATGGGTGAACACATAATTTTCTAAAATAGGGTGATGGAGTCCTGGTTCCAATGGGTTGGCTTAGTGCTGGCTGGAGGAGAGCAAACTGAGGGCATGGTGAGGAGGAGGCATCTGCAGTCCCATCCACAGTGCACTTCTATATCTGTGCAAGGTGTGAGGGCAGGACTTGGAGCTTTCCAGCCACTGTTGGCACAGCGAAAAGGAAAGGGACTGAGATGGGGACAGAGACAGGAGGCAAAACCCTGCTGTGTGGATCTGGTGAGCAGAGAAGTGCCAAAGAGCAGCTCCTGAGCAGCACCTCTTTCCCTCTCCAGCCTCCTGGCAAATCCTGAGCTTTTGCCCTTTCTCATTTTGGTGCATGCTCTGACTAAAATAGAGAGAGAGATCTTCACTGCTGGGCATCTGATTCTGCAGCAATGTACTTTTTATCAGCCAAGGCTGCAAGGTGAGGGTGGCCTTGTAAATCAAAGACCCTCAGCTGAAATCTGCCCAGGTGGTGAACATCCCCTGGCCAAAGCGGCAGCTGTTCTTTGAGGATCCAGCAATGCCCAGAAGGTGCCCAGGCTCGCTGGTGCCTGATGACCCACAGCACCAGTGATTTCAGTGCAAGGTGCAGATGTTTGTGACAGACTGCCCAGCCAATGTGAGCACTTTGAAAGCTACAGTGGGAAGGAGCTGGTGCCTATGGGAGGGCAATAAAGTACTTATGTTTCCCTCTTTGGACACAAGGGCATTGTCCTGCACTTGAGGAGGAACAACCCCAAGTACCAGTATCTCCTGAGAGCTGCCCAGTTGTAAAAACAGCCTGGGGGGTTCTGCTGGATACCATGGTGACAATAAGCCAGGAATCCTCCATGGCCTCCAAGAAGGAACTCATAAGGCAAACCCTATCCTTTAGTACTCTAGCACTTGGGACAGCAGCTGTGTCTTGTGCTGGTGAGGAACACAGAAGACTTCCAGCTATGGGATTGCTGTACTATGGGATTGAAAATACTCTCACACCAAATTAAAATAAGAATCCAAACTGTTATGATGACATCCTCACCGGGGCCTGAAATCAGGAGGAAAACTGAGCTTTGCAGGTGCAGGATAGAGATGGTTGAAGATATAGCAGGTTGCTTTTCAGTGCCTCTGCTGTGGGCAAATCTCTGCCAGGTTTGATCTGTTCAGCTGTGCTGAATCTCCTTCTGGTCGTGGCTGCTTTGTGGAGCTTGTGGGCAGAGCAGCAGAGAGAGTCCCTGCTGTGAGCAGCACGCTCCCTTGTGAGGAGGGACACACAAACACACACATGCTCATGGGACTCACGTCACTCGTGCACAAATCTGCACCCAAAACCACTTGCAGAAATCTGGCATGCAGAGAAGTCCAGGTGAGGGAACACATGCAGAAACACAGTGAACTGTGCACTCAACTGGAGACACCCGGGGGCAGCCCCATCAGGGATGCTGGAGCATGCTGGAGAAGGGCAAGGCTCCAGATGGGCTAATGGTGTTGTTTGAAGACTGCACAGGTGGGAGGTGAATTGGGAGCTTTGAAGAAAACATTGTATTCGAGGAGTCAGTGATCATGGTGATACATTTCTGCTTGCACTGAAGATTTGGGAAGCTCCTACAGTGCCCTGTGCCAGCCTGTGTATGGGCATCATGGCAGAAACAACCTTACAGCATGTAAGGAGAAAATGTGTGTATGTTTGTTTGTTTGTGGGTTTTTTTTTTTTTGTGTTTTTTTTTGTGTGCTTTTTTTTGGTTTTGTTTTGTTTTGTTTTGTTTTTTGTTATACAGAATAGAAGGCACCAGGGTGTGGGAAAGAAGCAGAAGCTCTTTCTGGTTGGGGTCTGTGAGAGTGTCTTTGGAAAATCCACCAAAGTCCGTATCATGCAGTATGAATGCAGGATCCATAGCATCTGAAAGAATGCAAGGTTTAATTCCTATCTACACTCCTGGGTTGATTCTGTGTTACTAATACAGCCCCTTTATAAAGACATTTGCTAGCAGCCCTATGTTTCTGACATCAGGGAGGGACCCTGCACCCCTTTTTCCCAGTGACACCTCCCTCATACAGAAGAGGAACAGACAAAACAAGCCAGCAGAATTTTCCTGATACAGTGTTAGGCGGGATATGGTCAAACCTAGGAACCGGCCACTTCTTGCCAAGAGGGCCGTAAAGACCATCCAAAAGGAGCAGCCCAGACTGAAATAATTTGCCTTTTCTGTATTTGTATCAGCTGGAATGTTTTACATTGAAGGTGAATTTGTCAGAAAATGATCACCTCGACAAGGTGCTGGGACGGGTGCAGGTGCCTGTGCCAGTGTTGGTGTCGCGGTTGGCGTCGGTGCAGGTATCGCTGTCGGCCCCGGTCCCATTGCTGGTGCCGGTGCCGGTCCCATTGCCGGTCCCATTGCCGGTGCCGGTCCCATTGCCGGTCCCATTGCTGGTGCCGGTCCCATTGCCAGTGTCGGTGCCGGTCCCATTGCCGGTGTCGGTGCCGGTCCCATTGCCGGTGTCGGTGCCGGTCCCATTGCCGGTGTCGGTGCCGGTCCCATTGCCGGTCCCTGTCCCATTGCCGGTCCCATTGCCGGTCCCGGTCCCATTGCCGGTCCCATTGCCGGTGTCGGTCCCATTGCCGGTCCCATTGCCGGTCCCATTGCCGGTGCCGGTGCCGTTCCCATTGCCGGTCCCATTGCCGGTCCCTGTCCCATTGCCGGTCCCATTGCTGGTCCCTGTCCCATTGCCGGTCCCATTGCCGGCCCCATTGCCGGTCCCATTGCCGGTGCCGGTCCCTGTCCCATTGCCGGTCCCATTGCCGGTCCCATTGCCGTTCCCATTGCCGGTGCCGGTCCCATTGCCGGTGCCATTGCCATTCCCATTGCCGGTCCCATTGCCGGTCCCGGTCCCATTGCCGGTCCCATTGCCGGTCCCATTGCCGTTCCCATTGCCGGTGCCGGTCCCATTGCCGGTCCCATTGCCGGTGCCGGTGCCGGCAGCGCCCCGGGGTCCCGGGCCGAGCGGGGCGAGGCGGCCCCGGCGGGCGGAGCGGCAGCGCCCCCTGCTGGCCCCGCCCGGCCCCGCCCGCGGCGGTTCGTGCCCGGCCGCAGCCCCGGCTCCTCTGCCCGTGGGCCCAGCGCGCAGTAATACACGGCCGCGTCCCCGCGCCGGGGCCCACCGAGCCGCAGCGCGCTCCAGCGCCGGTCTGCCGACACCCACAGCTGGCCCAGATTGTCCGGCAGCTCTTTGGAATCTCTCACTGTGAGTGCGAGGAATTCAGGTCCTTGGCCAGGGAGCTGACGGTACCAGTGGATGTAATCGCCAGTCTGGATTTTGGGATGTGAGCAGGTGATGTTGATGCTGGTGCCCTCGGTGGTCTCCAGTGACGGCTCCTGCTGCACCTGAGCTCTGGCCACAGTCCCTGCCAGGAAAAAGAAGAATCAGTTTTGTTTTACAGAAAATGCCTTGCAGGGGGGGATGGGAGAGGACAGATCAGAGCTAAATGGGATATGTCCTGGTAATAAAGTATGGAGAGCTAATTGCACTGAGAGTGTTTGTCTGAGGACAAGAATCTGTGAGGGGTGTTTTGAAGAAAAATCAGACCGAAGTTACAAAAACAGACCAGGTGGGAAGGAGGGAGACATGGAGTAAAAAAGGAAAAAGGGGACTCAAAACCTTCATGGAGGGAAGAAAGTATCACGACGGAGGAGAGAACAGAGGGTAAATAAGAACCGAAAAGGAACATGAGGATAAGAGAAGAATCTTGGGCTAGGCGGTATCACGTAGTCCCCTGACCCAGAAAACCCCGGCCGCCAACGCAACGCACCGAGCAGCACCGCGGCCAGCGCCGCCAGCCCCGCGCCCCGACACCGCCGCATGCCGCCGCTCCGCCGGCCTAACATCGTTGTCCTGTCCTGTCCTGTCCTGTCCTGTCCTGTCCTGTCCTGTCCTCTCCTCTCCTCTCCTCTCCTCTCCTCCCCTCCCCTCCTCTCCCCTCCCCAACGCCGCCAGCTCCGCCCCGGCCCGAATCAGCCCCCGCCTCTCCCCGCACCAGCACCTTCAGCAGCGACACCAGGACGTTTGGCACGGCCAGCGACAAGAGACAGCTGTGTCCCATCGCACACAGCAGCCACACCGCGTGGGAAGCAGATCCACCCTGCAGCCATCTGCAGCGGGCAGTGCCGGCCCCGCTCGGCTGCGCTCAGGCTCTGTGGGAGCCTGGGAAGCTGCTGCTCTGTGCTCTGCAGGGCCACAGCGGTGCTCGGGGCCTGGCAGAGGCAGAAAATTCCCTCCCGGTGAGGGACACACACGGACACAGCCAGGGCCGAGCTCAGCACGGTGGAGCCACAGACAAATCCGTGCTTGCCGTGTGTCCGTGCAAACGGGGCTGCTCCGAGAGCTCACAAGGCAGGAACACACAACCAGCCCTGGGCTCTGCTGAGGACATGTGGGGCCAAAAGCAGCAGGGCTGGAGTGTGGAAGGATAAGATTCCAGGAAAACACAGGGGATACTTTTTTTTATTAGGGACTGCCCAATGTGGAAATGAGTCAAAATAGTCCAAAAAAATGTCCACTAGGGACATTTTGTGTATGGACATATGTCCATATGTACGTATGTATGGACATAGACAAATCCACCAGACACATGCTGAATGCAAATTCTTGAGAGCATTAGGGCTGAGATCAGGGTCCCTTCCCCAAGCTCAGCCTTGCCCTGGGTTCTTGCACAGCCGAGGCAGCTCCCTGCACCAGGGTGTCTTGCAGAGCACAGAGGTACAAGGCACTGTCAGAGAGCTCCACTTCCTCCAGCTGCAGGACACTGGATTTGCCCGTGGTGTTCAGGTACGTGGTGATCCGGCCACTGTGCTTGCGGCCAGACCCTGCTTGATAGGAGAGCAGCTGTGGGGCTTGGCCTTTCTGCAGCTTGTACCAGAGCAAAGCATAAAAATTACTGCTCTGGTATTTGCAGGTGGTGTGGAAGGGGTGTCCCTGCTTCACCGTGACGGTTCCATCATCCTGGGTGACCGTGTCCTGCCCCGAGGTACCTGGAAGAAAGTGATGGTGAGCCACTCCACAGGGAAGGACTCCAAGCAGGAAAACCAGATCGGGTGCAAAACCAATCTGCACAACCAGATGTGCAGAAGTACAGGTGAGAGCGATTTTGGGCAGGATTTCAGAGCTGTCATCACTGCCAGACCCTTAGAAGAGCTGCTCTGTGTCCCTGTTCCTACATCTGCTTCTAAGACGACTCAAGAACTGCCTAAATTTGAGGTGCTCAAAGAGGCTGAGGAACCAATCGAGATGCGGCAAAAGGATTCATCCTGCTTCTGCATCCCTGTCACCTCTGAGGGTTCCTCAATCCCTGAGTACACACAATGGTGATCTTGGAAAGAGGGAGCCCTGGTTGTGCTGGCAGCAGAGAGAACTCTGGAAGCCGTGCCAGAGCTGTGTCAGCCTGGAGGCAGAATGGGATGCTCTCTTAATGTCAGTGAAATGAGAACTTTGAAGTGCCTTGAGCATACTTGTCAGGATCTGGAAATTTACATTAACACAGGAACAATATCTGACTGCAGAGATAGCTGAGATCTCCCGAGGTGACTGCAAAGAAGCAGACGAGAACAGCAGAGGGAGATGCACTGAAGGTGAGAGAATAGACAGAAAGGGGCTCCGAGATTTCTCTTCTCTCCTTTCCATTTTCCCTTACAAATCAAAGAACTTGTTGAGGAAACGCTTGAAAACCACAGAGAAGCAGATTTTTCTCTGCCTTTCCACTCTAACCACTGATATTTCCCTACAAGGTCCTGATAAGGCTATTGAGGATTTCCTGCGGGTAAGAAGAAGAGGAAGAGAAGTAGAAGGGTGCCTCGGGGAAGAGCCAGGACTTACCCAGGAGCTGGGCCAGCAGGACGCTGAGGATGAGACAGGCGAGGTGCATGCCGAGAGCGAGCTGCGTGTTTGCTGAGTGAGGAAGAGTCCGAAAGCGCGCGGCACCCCGAGAGAACGGAGCTGCCGGGAGCGACTCTGGGCGGGGGCAAAGGCAGCAGCGGCGGGAGCAGGCAGAGCAATGCCCTGTCCTTGCAGCGCCTGAAATGCTCCTTGGGCGTTTCTCGCTCCTCCAGCAGCAGCCGCCGAGGCTCCCTCAGCCATCGGCCCCGGGAGCATTCCGTGCCTCTGGGGCCTCGCTCATGGCAAGGGGCTGTTCCCGCTCAGCTCGCAGTGGAGTCCTCAATTAGAAGCTGGATAGCTCTGAGCTCCCCACTGCTCTCCTTTATCACCTACTGCCTGACTGGTGTCACTGTGTGCTTTGTTCATCACTTTCCCTGTTCCTGTTTCTTCCCTTGGAAAGGAAGAAGGACGTGATGTGAGCCTCAGAGAACCAGACACCCTCACTTTTCACATGCCCTGACTGTGGCCTCTGCTGAACTTGCTCAGCCCAAGGAGGTCCTGAAGATGCTGAAAGGCTCCTGTCCCCAAAGGAACTGGGGTCTCTAATACAAGTCTCGGGGGGGGGGGGAACTGATGTGGAGCTCAGTCTTTCAAGTGTCTCCCTCCAACACTTGCAGCATTGCTAAATCCTGGCATTTGTTCTTCTGGATGCTTGACAGGTTACTAACGTGAAGGAAGGGACCAATGAGTTTAAGGGAGCAGGTGGGTGTGAAGGAGCACTTTGAAAACACGAAATGCTCTGCTACTCCAACCGATTTATTGTTTTCCTTTCCGGATATTCTACTTTTTCAGGAATGTGCTGAATGCTGATCCATGAGTTCTTGGGGAAAAGTGAGGATGGAAATGAAACATGTAGAGAAGTGATTTCCAGGCTCAGGCGGCATTGAAAATACACCTGATTTACACATCCAGGTGAGAATGCTGCTTCATATGACACCTGTAGTATGGAACAGAGACATTTCTGCAGCGACAGAGATGGGGATTCCTTTGTGACATCAGAAAGCCTGACTGCAAACCCCACTCATGTCATGACCCACTGAGGTGACAGCACTTCATGAATTAGCCCCTGTGTGCCTGTCAGTGCCGCTCCTTGGTCAGCTGCCATCCCGGGTGTCAATGGTTACTGGTGTCAATGTCAATACTGGTGTCTATGCCGGTGCCGGTCCCATTGCCGGTCCCATTGCCGGTGCCATTGCCGGTGCCGGTGCCGGCAGCGCCCCGGGGTCCCGGGCCGAGCGGGGCGAGGCGGCCCCGGCGGGCGGAGCGGCAGCGCCCCCTGCTGGCCCCGCCCGGCCCCGCCCGCGGCGGTTCGTGCCCGGCCGCAGCCCCGGCTCCTCTGCCCGTGGGCCCAGCGCGCAGTAATACACGGCCGCGTCCCCGCGCCGGGGCCCACCGAGCCGCAGCGCGCTCCAGCGCCGGTCTGCCGACACCCACAGCTCCCCTGCAATGCCCGGCAGCTTTCTGGACTCTTTGTGAACGCTCGCGAGGTATTCGGGTTCTCGGCCAGGGAGCTGACGGTACCAGTAGATGGTTTCGCTGGTCTGGATTTTGGGATGCGAGCAGGTGATGTTGATGCCGGTGGCTTCGGTGGTTTCCAATGACGGCTCCTGCTGTACCTGAGCTCTGGCCACAGCCACTGCCATGCAGAAAAGTATAATCACTTTTCTTGTACAGAAAATGCCATTCAGGACGACATACAAGTGGATGACAGATCAGAGCGAACTTGGATATGTTTTGAGAATAGAGTATCGAGGCATTATAACTCTGAGAGTGCTTGGCTGATGACAAGAAACTTTGAGGGATATTTTGAAGGTAAATCAGAAGGAATTGTCAATAACAGAGTTGCTGAGAGTGATGGATGGATGCATGAATGGATGGATGGATGGATGGATGGATGGATGGATGGATGGATGGATGGATGGATGGATGGATGGATGGATGGATGGATGGATGAATGAATGGAAAAAGACAGGGAGAAATAAAGGCAAGATGAGAAGTAATTACTTAATGGATAGAGAATTAAGTCAGGGTAGAGGATAGAACAGAAGGTATATAGTAACCGAAAAGGAACAGGAGGGTCAAAATTAATCTTCAGCCTGTGTGGGTCTCACGCAGCTCGCTGACGCGGACCCTCCACGGCCGCTAAGGCAACGCACCGAGCAGCAGCACCGCGGGCAGCGCCGCCAGCCCCGCGCCCCGACACCGCCGCATGCCGCCGCTCCGCCGGCCGAGCCTCGCTGTGCCCCTCAGCCCCGGCTCTGCTGCGGCCGTGCCGCCTCCTCCCCAACGCCGCCAGCTCCGCCCCGGCCCGGAGCCCTGCGCCGCCGCTGCTCGGGCTCTCGCCGACTCCGGGCAGGGAACGGAGCGGAGGCGAGCGCGGTGCCGGTTTGGCACATCCCTTGGTTTGGAACATCCCTTGGGAAGCAGCCCTTGAAAAGAAAGGGGCCCCGGAAGACTGGATGTACTTAAGAAGGAAACCTTGAAGGCACAGGAGCAGCCTGGCCCTGGGTGCCAAAAGATGAGGAGGTGGAGGAGAAGACCTGCCTGGCAGCAAAGGGAGCATTCCCAGGAACTCAGGGAATAAAATAGGTTGTCTCACGTTTGGAAAAGGGCAGGCAGCTCAGGAAGAGTTGGAGAATGTCCTTAGGTAATGCAGAGAGAAAAGTAGAGAGGAGAAAGCTCAGTCAGACCTTGATCTGGCCCATTCTGAATGGGGTAAATAAAGAGTGTTTTTACAAATACATTAACGAGGACCGAGGATAATCACCATCCTTCATTGGACACAGTGGGGAATGTATTCACCAAATACGAGGGAAAGGCAGAGGTGCTTAACACCTTCATGGCCTCAGTCTTCAGGAGTAGGATTGATGATCATCAGGAGAACTGGCCTCCTGATCTGGGAGACTGGGAAGGCAAGCAGCATGGAACCCCTGTAGTCCAGACGGAGGAAGTTAAAGATTTGTTAGGCTATTTAGATGCTCCAAGTGTTTGGGATTGCATGGGATTCGTGCTAGGGAGATCAGGCAGCTGGGGCAGAAGCTCTTTATGCCAGTGCTGAGAAGAGGGGCAGAGGAAGGTGCAAGAGGCCATCTGAAGACCCTCACTCATTTGCCTGTCGATTGCCACGAGAAGGAAACACACCCCCCCCCGCCTTCAGTTCCAGCTTGGAGAAAGCAACAGTGCAGGTGCAGCTGCTGCACCGTCACGCCTGCTGCTCCAAATGAGGCCTGGCAAGAACTTGGCAAGGAGTTGGCAACGACCCAGCATGGACCCAGCACAGGGCGGCTCCTGCAATTCCTGGTCACTCTCCACCTTAAAGCCGAATGAACTGGTGGGGTGGCTCTGGTGGTCTCCCACTGAAGACCCCTCATCTGCCTTGCTACCACCAGGACAGACGGAGATCCAGAGACTGAGACTGAGACCCCTACAACAGAATGGGGGGGAGGGGGGGGAGAGAATGACATGACCTGTTCTTCTCCAGTAACTTCAATGGACTTATTCTTCATTGTGTTCATCCTGCCTGGATGATTTTCAGTAGATTCACCTGTTCCCCCTCACAGCAATTTCAATAGACTCTCATTGTTCTGCGTGTTCTCCCCTTTTTCCCTCTGTGGACTATGATTGGACCCTGGGTTGGGTAGGACTTGGGAGATTCTCCTCAGCACAATAAGACAGATCCCCATCGTCCAGACCAGTGAGGGCCTCTCCTGTGTTGGTATCTATTCCCAGCCCCCTTCTCTCTGTCTCTCTCTCTATCCTTCTTAATTCTTTTCTGACCACACTATCGCATTTCTTGTTTTGGCCCCTAATAAAGGTGCAGTTGTTGTGATTAAACTGATAGTCCCCTGCTGTTTGTCTTTTGCACTTTGGGACCGGCTAACAAAGCATCACGACACCCCGCTATAAGCGGATCGTGACAGAAGGTCGGTGATTCCACGATGGAGCTGCCGTTGTCGGTGCCGGTGTCGGTGTGGATGCTGGAGTCGCTGCCGGAGCCGGTGTCAGTGCCGGTGCTGGTCCCATTGCCGGTCCCATTGCCGGTGCCATTGCCGGTCCCATTGCCGGTCCCATTGCTTGTCCCATTGCCGGTCCCATTGCCGGTGCCGGTGCCAGTCCCATTGCGGTCCCATTGCCGGTCCCATTGCCGGTCCCATTGCTTGTCCCATTGCCGGTCCCATTGCCGGTGCCGGTGCCAGTCCCATTGCGGTCCCATTGCCGGTCCCATTGCCGGTCCCATTGCCGGTGCCGGTGCCGGTGCCGGTCCCATTGCCAGTCCCATTGCCGGTCCCATTGCCGGCGCCGGTGCCGGTCCCTGTCCCATTGCCGGTCCCATTGCCGGTGCCGGTGCCGGCAGCGCCCCGGGGTCCCGGGCCGAGCGGGGCGAGGCGGCCCCGGCGGGCGGAGCGGCAGCGCCCCCTGCTGGCCCCGCCCGGCCCCGCCCGCGGCGGTTCGTGCCCGGCCGCAGCCCCGGCTCCTCTGCCCGTGGGCCCAGCGCGCAGTAATACACGGCCGCGTCCCCGCGCCGGGGCCCACCGAGCCGCAGCGCGCTCCAGCGCCGGTCTGCCGACACCCACAGCTCTCCTGCAATGCCCGGCAGCTTTTTGGAGTCCTTGTGAATGCTCACGAGGAATTCGGGTCCCCGGCCCGGGAGCTGGCGGTACCAGTAGATCATATCGTTGGTCTGGATTTTGGGATGTGAGCAGGTGATGTTGATGCTGGTGCCTTCGGTGGTCTCCAATAACGGCTCCTGCTGTACCTGCGCTCTGGCCACAGCCACTGCCACCGGGAAAAGAACAATCAATTTTCTTTCACAGAAAACGGAGGGTGAGATGGGAAAGAGGACAGATCAGTGTTACCCGAGATATGTCTCGAGAATAGAGTATGAAGGGATTATTTATCGGAGAGTGTTTGGCTAGGGACACGAAACTATGAAGGGTATTTAGATGGACAACTGCAAGTTCTACGAGAAGAACTGAATGAGGAAAATAGATTTCCCTGGAGCAAGGAAGGGAGGGAGGGAAGGACGGAGGGAGGGATGGAAGGATGGATGGATGGATGGATGGATGGATGGATGGATGGATGGATGGATGGATGGATGGATAGATGGATGAAAAAATAGAGTAAAAAACGCAAACTGGCTGGGAGGACTTCAGTGAGGAAAAAAAAATAAAAAAAACAACCCATGACAGTAGACGAAGAGACACGGAGCAAACAAGAACTGAGACGGAGAAAAGGAGTTACAGATGAAACTTAGGGAGAGAAGAGTCTCACACAGCCCCCCGACCACCCCCACCGATCCCTTCCCCGCGCACCGAGCAGCAGCACCGCGGCCAGCGCCGCCAGCCCCGCGCCCCGACACCGCCGCATGCCGCCGCTCCGCCGGCCGAGCCTCGCTGTGCCCCTCAGCCCCGGCTCTGCTGCGGCCGTGCCGCCTCCTCCCAACGCCGCCAGCTCCGCCCCGGCCCAAATCACCCCCGCCTCTCCCCGCACCAGCACCTTCAGCAGCGACACCAGGACGTTTGGCACGGCCAGCGACAAGAGACAGCTGTGTCCCTTCGCACACAGCAGCCACACCGCGTGGGAAGCAGATCCACCCCGCACCCATCTGCAGCGGGAGCTGCCGGCCCCGCTCGGCTGCGCTCAGGCTCTGTGGGAGCCTGGGGAGCTGCTGCTCTGTGCTCTGCAGGGCCACAGCGCTGCTCGGGGCCCTGGCAGGGACAGCAAATTCCCTCCCGGTGAGGGACACACACGGACACAGCCAGGGCCGAGCTCAGCACGGTGGAGCCACAGACAAATCCGTGCTTGCCGTGTGTCCGTGCAAACGGGGCAGCTCCGAGAGCTCACAAGGCAGGAACACACAACCAGCCCTGGGCTCTGCTGAGGACATGTGGGGCCAAAAGCAGCAGGGCTGGAGTGTGGAAGGATAAGATTCCAGGAAAACACAGGGGATACTTTTTTTTATTAGGGACTGCACAATGTGGAAATGAGTCAAAACAGTCCAAAAAATGTCCACTGGGGAACTGCTTGTATGGACATAGACAAATCCACCAGACTATTGTACACATGCTGAATGCAACTTCTTGTGAGCATTAGGGCTGAGATCAGGGTCCCTTCCCCAAGCTCAGCCTTGCCCTGACACATCCCCTCCCTGCCCGGGGTTCTTGCACAGCCGAGGCAGTTCCCTGCACCAGGGTGTCTTGCAGAGCACAGAGGTACAAGGCACTGTCAGAGAGCTCCACTTCCTCCAGCTGCAGGACACTGGATTTGCCCGTGGTGTTCAGGTACGTGGTGATCCGGCCACTGTGCTTGCGGCCAGACCCTGTTTGATAGGAGAGCAGCTGTGGGGCTTGGCCTTTCTGCAGCTGGTACCAGAGCAAAGCATAAAAATTACTGCTCTGGTATTTGCAGGTGGTGTGGAAGGGGTGTCCCTGCTTCACCGTGACTGGTCCATCATCCTGGGTGACCGTGTCCTGCCCCGAGGTACCTGGAAGAAAGTGATGGTGAGCCACTCCACAGGGAAGGACTCCAGGCAGGAAAACCAGATCGGGTGCAAAACCAATCTGCACAACCAGATGTGCAGAAGTACAGGTGAGAGCCATTTTTGGGCAGGATTTCAGAGCTGTCATCACTGCAAGACCCTTAGAAGAGCTGCTCTGTGTCCCTGTTCCTACATCTGCTTCTAAGATGCCCCGAGAACTGCCTAAATTTGAGGTGCTCAAAGAGGCTGAGGAACCAATCGAGATGCGGCAAAAGGATTCATCCTGCTTCTGCATCCCTGTCACCTCTGAGAGTTCCTCAATCCCTGAGTACACACAATGGTGATCTTGGAAAGAGGGAGCCCTGGTTGTGCTGGCAGCAGAGAGAACTCTGGAATCCCTGACAGAGCTGTGTCAGCCTGGAGGCAGAATGGGACGCTCTCTTAATGTCAGTGAAATGAGAACTTTGAAGTGCCTTGAGCATACTTGTCAGGATCTGGAAATTTACATTAACACAGGAACAATATCTGACTGCAGAGAGAGCTGAGATCTCCCGAGGTGACTGCAAAGAAGCAGACGAGAAGGGACAGGGAGATGCACTGAAGGTGAGAGAATAGACAGAAAAGGGCTCCGAGATTTCTTTTCTCTCCTTTCCATTTTCCCTTAGAAATCAAAGAACTTCTTGAGGAAACGCTTCAAAACCACAGAGAAGCAGATTTTCCTCTGCCTTTCCACTCTAACCACTGATATTTCCCTACAAGGTCCTGATAAGGCTATTGAGGATTTCCTGCGGGTAAGAAGAAGAGGAAGAGAAGAAGAAGGGTTCCCTGGGGAAGAGCCAGGACTTACCCAGGAGCTGGGCCAGCAGGACGCTGAGGATGAGACATGCGAGGTGCATGCCGAGAGCGAGCTGCGTGTTTGCTGAGTGAGGAAGAGTCCGAAACGCGCGGCACCCCGAGAGAACGGAGCTGCCGGGAGCGACTCTGGGCGGGGGCAAAGGCAGCAGCGGCGGGAGCAGGCAGAGCGATGCCCTGTCCTTGCAGCGCCTGAAATGCTCCTTGTGCGTTTCTCGCTCCTCCAGCAGCAGCCGCCGAGGCTCCCTCAGCCATCGGCCCCGGGAGCATTCCGTGCCTCTGGGGCCTCGCTCATGGCAAGGGGCTGTTCCCGCTCAGCTCGCAGTGGAGTCCTCAATTAGAAGCTGGATAGCTCTGAGCTCCCCACTGCTCTCCTTTATCACCTACTGCCAGACTGGTGTCATTGTGTGCTTTGTTCATCACTTTCCCTGTTCCTTGTTCTTCCCTTGGAAAGGAAAATGGACACGATGTGAACCTCAGAGAACCAGACACCCTCACCTTTCACATGCCCTGACTGTGGCCTCTGCTGAACTTGCTCAGCCCAAGGAGCTCCTGAAGATGCTGAAAGGCTCCTGTCCCCAAAGGAACTGGGGTCTCTAGAACAAGTGTTGGAGAGAAACCTGATGTCGAGCTCAGTCCTTCAAGTGTCTCCCCACAACACTTGCAGCATTTCTAAATCCTGGCATTTGTTCTTGTGGATGCTTGGCAGGTTACTAACGTGAAGGGAAAGGACCAAGTAGTTTCAGGGGGAAGGTGGTTGCAAAGGGGCGCTTCGATGATTTGCTCCTCTACTACTCCTGATTGATTGTTTTCCTTCCTGGATGTTCTACTGTTTTAAGAAGGTGCTGAATGCTCACCCATGAATGTTTGGGGGAAAGTGAGGATGGGAATGAAACCTGTAGAGAATAGATTTCCAGGCTCAGGAGGGATAGACAGCACACCTGATTTACACATCCAGGTGAGAATGCTGCTTCATATGACACTTGTAGTATGGAACAGAGACATTTCTGCAGCGACAGAGATGGAGATTCCTTTGTCACCTCAGAAAGCCTGACTGCAAACCCCACTTATGTCATGACCCACGGAGGTGACAGCACTCCATGAATTAGCCCCTGTGTGCCTGTGGGTGCTGCTCCTTGGTCAGCTGCCATCCCGGGTGTCAACGGTTACTGGTGTCAATGTCAATACTGGTGTCTATGCCGGTGCCGGTCCCATTGCCGGTGCCGGTCCCATTGCCGGTGCCGGTCCCAGTCCCATTGCCGGTCCCTGTCCCATTGCCGTTCCCATTGCCGGTGCCGGTCCCATTGCCGGTGCCGGTCCCATTGCCGGTCCCATTGCCGGTCCCATTGTCGATCCCATTGCCGGTGCCATTGCCGGTCCCATTGCCGGCGCCGGTCCCATTGCCGGTGCCGGTCCCATTGCCGTTCCCATTGCCGGTGCCGGTGCCGGTCCCTGTCCCATTGCCGGTGCCGGTGCCGGCAGCGCCCCGGGGTCCCGGGCCGAGCGGGGCGAGGCGGCCCCGGCGGGCGGAGCGGCAGCGCCCCCTGCTGGCCCCGCCCGGCCCCGCCCGCGGCGGTTCGTGCCCGGCCGCAGCCCCGGCTCCTCTGCCCGTGGGCCCAGCGCGCAGTAATACACGGCCGCGTCCCCGCGCCGGGGCCCACCGAGCCGCAGCGCGCTCCAGCGCCGGTCTGCCGACACCCACAGCTCTCCTGCAATGCCCGGCAGCTTTTTGGAGTCCTTGTGAACGCTCGCGAGGTATTCAGGTCCCCGGCCAGGGAGCTGGCGGTACCAGTAGATGGTTTCGCTGGTCTGGATTTTGGGATGTGAGCAGGTGATGTTGATGCCGGTGCCTTCGGTGGTCTCCAATGACGGCTCCTGCTGTACCTGCGCTCTGGCCACTGCCACTGCCATGCAGAAAAGTATAATCACTCTTCTTGTACAGAAAATGCCATTCAGGACGACATAGGAGTGGATGACAGATCAGAGCGAACTTGGATATGCTTTGAGAATAGAGTGTCGAGGCATTATAACTCTGAGAGTGCTTGGCTGATGACAAGAAACTTTGAGGGATATTTTGAAGGTAAATCAGAAGGAATTGTCAATAACAGTTGCTGAGAGTGATGGATGGATGCATGGATGGATGGATGGATGGATGGATGGATGGATGGATGGATGGATGGATGAATGAATGAATGGAAAAAGACAGGGAGAAATAAAGGCAAGATGAGAAGTAATTACTTAATGGATAGAGAATTAAGTCAGGGTAGAGGATAGAACAGAAGGTATATAGTAACCGAAAAGGAACAGGAGGGTCAAAATTAATCTTCAGCCTGTGTGGGTCTCACGCAGCTCGCTGACGCGGACCCTCCACGGCCGCTAAGGCAACGCACCGAGCAGCAGCACCGCGGGCAGCGCCGCCAGCCCCGCGCCCCGACACCGCCGCATGCCGCCGCTCCGCCGGCCGAGCCTCGCTGTGCCCCTCAGCCCCGGCTCTGCTGCGGCCGTGCCGCCTCCTCCCCAACGCCGCCAGCTCCGCCCCGGCCCGGAGCCCTGCGCCGCCGCTGCTCGGGCTCTCGCCGACTCCGGGCAGGGAACGGAGCGGAGCCGAGCGCGGTGCCGGTTTGGCACATCCCTTGGTTTGGAACATCCCTTGGGAAGCAGCCCTTGAAAAGAAAGGGGCCCCGGAAGACTGGATGTACTTAAGAAGGAAACCTTGAAGGCACAGGAGCAGCCTGGCCCTGGGTGCCAAAAGATGAGGAGGTGGAGGAGAAGACCTGCCTGGCTGCAAAGAGAGCATTCCCAGGAACTCAGGGAATAAAATAGGTTGTCTCACGTTTGGAAAAGGGCAGGCAGCTCAGGAAGAGTTGGAGAATGTCCTTAGGTAATGCAGAGAGAAAAGTAGAGAGGAGAAAGCTCAGTCAGACCTTGATCTGGCCCATTCTGAATGGGGTAAATAAAGAGTGTTTTTACAAATACATTAACGAGGACCGAGGATAATCACCATCCTTCATTGGACACAGTGGGGAATGTATTCACCAAATACGAGGGAAAGGCAGAGGTGCTTAACACCTTCATGGCCTCAGTCTTCAGGAGTAGGATTGATGATCATCAGGAGAACTGGCCTCCTGATCTGGGAGACTGGGAAGGCAAGCAGCATGGAACCCCTGTAGTCCAGACGGAGGAAGTTAAAGATTTGTTAAGCTATTTAGATGCTCCAAGTGTTTGGGATTGGATGGGATTCGTGCTAGGGAGATCAGGCAGCTGGGGCAGAAGCTCTTTATGCCAGTGCTGAGAAGAGGGGCAGAGGAAGGTGCAAGAGGCCATCTGAAGACCCTCACTCATTTGCCTGTCGATTGCCACGAGAAGGAAACACCCCCACACACACACCCCCACTTCAGTTCCAGCTTGGAGAAAGCAACAGTGCAGGTGCAGCTGCTGCACCGTCACGCCTGCTGCTCCAAATGAGGCCTGGCAAGAACTTGGCAAGGAGTTGGCAACGACCCAGCATGGACCCAGCACAGGGCGGCTCCTGCAATTCCTGGTCACTCTCCACCTTAAAGCCGAATTAACTGGTGGGGTGGCTCTGGTGGTCTCCCACTGAAGACCCCTCATCTGCCTTGCTACCACCAGGACAGACGGAGATCCAGAGACTGAGACTGAGACCCCTACAACAGAGTGGGGGGGAGGGGGGGGAGAGAATGACATGACCTGTTCTTCTCCAGTAACTTCAATGGACTTATTCTTCATTGTGTTCATCCTGCCTGGATGATTTTCAGTAGATTCACCTGTTCCCCCTCACAGCAATTTCAATAGACTCTCATTGTTCTGCGTGTTCTCCCCTTTTTCCCTCTGTGGATTATGATTGGACCCTGGGTTGGGTAGGACTTGGGAGATTCTCATCAACACAATAAGACAGATCCCCATCATCCAGACCAGTAAGGACCTCTCCTGTGTTGGTATCTATTTCCAGCCCCCTTCTCTCTGTCTCTCTCTCTATCCTTCTTATTTCTTTTCTGACCACACTATCGCATTTCTTGTTTTGGCCCCTAATAAAGGTGCAATTGTTGTGATTAAACTGATAGTCCCTTGCTGTTTGTCTTTTGCACTTTGGGACCGGCTAACGAACCATCACGACACCCCGCTATAAGCGGATCGTGACAGGAGGTCGGTGACTCCACGACGGAGCTGCCGTTGTTGGTGCCGGTGTCGGTGTGGATGCCGGAGTTGGTACGGGAGCCGGTGTCAGTGCCGGTGCCGGTCCCATTGCCGGTGCCGGTGCCGGTCCCACTACTGGTGCCGGTCCCTGTCCCATTGCCGGTCCCATTGACGGTCCCATTGCCGGTGCCGGTCCCATTGCTGGTGCCATTGCTGGTGCCGGTCCCATTGCTGGTCCCATTGCTGGTCCCATTGCCGGTCCCATTGCCAGTGCCATTGCTGGCGCCGGTCCCATTGCCATTCCCATTGCCGGTGCCGGTCCCATTGACGGTCCCATTGCTGGTGCCGGTGCCGGTCCCATTGCCGGTCCCATTGCCGGTGCCATTCCCGGTCCCTGTCCCATTGCCGGTCCCATTGCCGGTGCCGGTCCCATTGCCGGTCCCATTGCTGGTGCCATTGCCGGTGCCGGTGCCGGTCCCATTGCCGGTGCCGGTCCCATTGCCGGTCCCATTGCCGGTGCCGGTCCCATTGCCGGTCCCATTGCCGGTGCCGGTGCCGGTCCCATTGCCGGTCCCATTGCCGGTCCCATTGCCGGTGCCGGTCCCATTGCCGGTCCCATTGCCGGTCCCATTGCCGGTGCCGGTCCCATTGCCGTTCCCATTGCCGGTGTCGGTGTCGGCAGCGCCCCGGGGTCCCGGGCCGAGCGGGGCGAGGCGGCCCCGGCGGGCGGAGCGGCAGCGCCCCCTGCTGGCCCCGCCCGGCCCCGCCCGCGGCGGTTCGTGCCCGGCCGCAGCCCCGGCTCCTCTGCCCGTGGGCCCAGCGCGCAGTAATACACGGCCGCGTCCCCGCGCCGGGGCCCACCGAGCCGCAGCGCGCTCCAGCGCCGGTCTGCCGACACCCACAGCTCTCCTGCAATGCCCGGCAGCTTTTTGGAGTCTTTCATAGTGAGTGCGAGGAGTTCGGGTCCCCGGCCCGGGAGCTGACGGTACCACTGGATGTAATCGCTGGTCTGGATTTTGGGATGTGAGCAGGTGATGTTGATGCTGGTGCCTTCGGTGGTCTCCAATAACGGCTCCTGCTGTACCTGCGCTCTGGCCACAGCCACTGCCACCGGGAAAAGAACAATCAATTTTCTTTCACAGAAAACGGAGGGTGAGATGGGAAAGGGGACAGATCAGTGTTACCCGAGATATGTCTCGAGAATAGAGTATGAAGGGATTATTTATCGGAGAGTGTTTGGCTAGGGACACGAAACTATGAAGGGTATTTAGATGGACAACTGCAAGTTCTACGAGAAGAACTGAATGAGGAAAATAGATTTCCCTGGAGCAAGGAAGGGAGGGAGGGAAGGACGGAGGGAGGGATGGAAGGATGGATGGATGGATGGATGGATGGATGGATGGATGGATGGATGGATGGATAGATGGATGAAAAAATAGAGTAAAAAACGCAAACTGGCTGGGAGGACTTCAGTGAGGAAAAAAAAATAAAAAAACAACCCATGACAGTAGACGAAGAGACACGGAGCAAACAAGAACTGAGACGGAGAAAAGGAGTTACAGATGAAACTTAGGGAGAGAAGAGTCTCACACAGCCCCCCGACCACCCCCACCGATCCCTTCCCCGCGCACCGAGCAGCAGCACCGCGGCCAGCGCCGCCAGCCCCGCGCCCCGACACCGCCGCATGCCGCCGCTCCGCCGGCCGAGCCTCGCTGTGCCCCTCAGCCCCGGCTCTGCTGCGGCCGTGCCGCCTCCTCCCAACGCCGCCAGCTCCGCCCCGGCCCAAATCACCCCCGCCTCTCCCCGCACCAGCACCTTCAGCAGCGACACCAGGACGTTTGGCACGGCCAGCGACAAGAGACAGCTGTGTCCCTTCGCACACAGCAGCCACACCGCGTGGGAAGCAGATCCACCCTGCAGCCATCTGCAGCGGGAGCTGCCGGCCCCGCTCGGCTGCGCTCAGGCTCTGTGGGAGCCTGGGGAGCTGCTGCTCTGTGCTCTTCAGGGCCACAGCGCTGCTCGGGGCCTGGCAGGGACAGCAAATTCCCTCCCGGTGAGGGACACACACGGACACAGCCAGGGCCGTGCTCAGCACGGTGGAGCCACAGACAAATCCGTGCTTGCCGTGTGTCCGTGCAAACGGGGCAGCTCCGAGAGCTCACAAGGCAGGAACACACAACCAGCCCTGGGCTCTGCTGAGGACATGTGGGGCCAAAAGCAGCAGGACTGGAGTGTGGAAGGATAAGATTCCAGGAAAACACAGGGGATACTTTTTTTTATTAGGGACTGCACAATGTGGAAATGAGTCAAAATAGTCCAAAAAAATGTCCACTGGGGAACTGCTTGTATGGACATAGACAAATCCACCAGACTATTGTACACATGCTGAATGCAAATTCTTGAGAGCATTAGGGCTGAGATCAGGGTCCCTTCCCCAAGCTCAGCCTTGCCCTGACACATCCCCTCCCTGCCCGGGGTTCTTGCACAGCCGAGGCAGCTCCCTGCACCAGGGTGTCTTGCAGAGCACAGAGGTACAAGGCACTGTCAGAGAGCTCCACTTCCTCCAGCTGCAGGACACTGGATTTGCCCGTGGTGTTCAGGTACGTGGTGATCCGGCCACTGTGCTTGCGGCCAGACCCTACTTGATAGGAGAGCAGCTGTGGGGCTTGGCCTTTCTGCAGCTGGTACCAGAGCAATCCCCCAAAATTAGTGTTCTGGTATTTGCAGGTGGTGTGGAAGGGGTGTCCCTGCTTCACCGTGACGGTTCCATCTTTCTGGGTGACCGTGTCCTGCCCCGAGGTACCTGGAAGAAAGTGATGGTTAGCTGCTCCACAGGGAAGGACTCCAGGCAGGAAAACCAGATCGGGTGCAAAACCAATCTGCACAACCAGATGTGCAGAAGTACAGGTGAGAGCCATTTTTGGGCAGGATTTCAGAGCTGTCATCACTGCAAGACCCTTAGAAGAGCTGCTCTGGGTCCCTGTTCCTACATCTGCTTCTAAGACGACCCGAGAACTGCCTAAATTTGAGGTGCTCAAAGAGGCTGAGGAACCAATCGAGATGCGGCAAAAGGATTCATCCTGCTTCTGCATCCCTGTCACCTCTGAGGGTTCCTCAATCCCTGAGTACACACAATGGTGATCTTGGAAAGAGGGAGCCCTGGTTGTGCTGGCAGCAGAGAGAACTCTGGAAGCCGTGCCAGAGCTGTGTCAGCCTGGAGGCAGAATGGGATGCTCTCTTAATGTCAGTGAAATGAGAACTTTGAAGTGCCTTGAGCATACTTGTCAGGATCTGGAAATTTACATTAACACAGGAACAATATCTGACTGCAGAGATAGCTGAGATCTCCCGAGGTGACTGCAAAGAAGCAGACGAGAACAGCAGAGGGAGATGCACTGAAGGTGAGAGAATAAACAGAAAAGGGCTCCGAGATTTCTCTTCTCCCCTTTCCATTTTCCCTTACAAATCAAAGAACTTGTTGAGGAAACGCTTGAAAACCACAGAGAAGCAGATTTTTCTCTGCCTTTCCCCTATAACCACTAATATTTCCCTACAAGGTCCTGATAAGGGTATTGAGGATTTCCTGGAGGTAAGAAGAAGAGGAAGAGAATAGAAGGGTTCCCTGGGGAAGAGCCAGGACTTACCCAGGAGCTGGGCCAGCAGGACGCTGAGGATGAGACATGCGAGGTGCATGCCGAGAGCGAGCTGCGTGTTTGCTGAGTGAGGAAGAGTCCGAAAGCGCGCGGCAGCCCCGAGAGAACGGAGCTGCCGGGAGCGACTCTGGGCGGGGGCAAAGGCAGCAGCGGCGGGAGCAGGCAGAGCAATGCCCTGTCCTTGCAGCGCCTGAAATGCTCCTTGTGCGTTTCTCGCTCCTCCAGCAGCAGCCGCCGAGGCTCCCTCAGCCATCGGCCCCGGGAGCATTCCGTGCCTCTGGGGCCTCGCTCATGGCAAGGGGCTGTTCCCGCTCAGCTCGCAGTGGAGTCCTCAATTAGAAGCTGGATAGCTCTGAGCTCCCCACTGCTCTCCTTTATCACCTACTGCCAGACTGGTGTCATTGTGTGCTTTGTTCATCACTTTCCCTGTTCCTTGTTCCTCCCTTGGAAAGGATAAAGGACGTGATGTGAGCCTCACCAGACACCCTCACCTTTCCCATGCCCTGACTGTGGCCTCTGCTGAACTTGCTCATCCCAAGGTCCTCCTGAAGACGCTGAAAGGCTCCTGTCCCGAAAGGAACTGGGATCTCTAATACAAGTCTCAGGGGGGGGAAACTGATGTTGAGCTCAGTCTTTCAAGTGTCTCCCTCCAACACTTGCAGCATTGCTAAATCCTGGCATTTGTTCTTCTGGATGCTTGACAGGTTACTAACGTGAAGCAAGGGACCAATGAGTTTAAGGGAGCAGGTGGGTGTGAATGAGCACTTTGAAAACATGAAATGCTCCGTTACTCCAACCGATTTATTGTTTTCCTTTCCAGATATTCTACTTTTTCAGGAATGTGCTGAATGCACAGCCATGAGTGTGTGGGGGAAAGTGAGGATGGGAATGAAACATTTAGAGAAGAGATTTCCAGGCTCAGGAGGGATAGACAGCACACCTGATTTACACATCCAGGTGAGAATGCTGCTTCATATGACACTTGTAGTATGGAACAGAGACATTTCTGGAGCGACAGAGATGGAGATTCCTTTGTCACCTCAGAAAGCCTCACTGCAAAACCCTCTCATGACATGACCTAGAGAGGTGACAGCACTCCATGAATTAGCCCCTGTGTGCCTGTGGGTGCTGCTCCTTGGTCAGCTGCCATCCCGGGTGTCAATGGTTACTGGTGTCAATGTCAATACTGGTGTCTATGCCGGTGCCGGTCCCATTGCCGGTCCCTGTCCCATTGCCGGTCCCATTGCCGGTCCCATTGCCGGTCCCATTGCCGGTGCCGGTCCCATTGCCGGTGCCATTGCCGGTGCCGGTGCCGGCAGCGCCCCGGGGTCCCGGGCCGAGCGGGGCGAGGCGGCCCCGGCGGGCGGAGCGGCAGCGCCTCCTGCTGGCCCCGCCCGGCCCCGCCCGCGGCGGTTCGTGCCCGGCCGCAGCCCCGGCTCCTCTGCCCGTGGGCCCAGCGCGCAGTAATACACGGCCGCGTCCCCGCGCCGGGGCCCACCGAGCCGCAGCGCGCTCCAGCGCCGGTCTGCCGACACCCACAGCTCTCCTGCAATGCCCGGCAGCTTTTTGGAGTCTTTGTGAACGCTCGCGAGGTATTCAGGTCCCTGGCCCGGGAGCTGTCGGTACCAGTAGATGGTTTCGCTGGTCTGGATTTTGGGATGCGAGCAGGTGATGTTGATGCCGGTACCCTCGGTGGTCTCCAATGACGGCTCCTGCTGTACCTGCGCTCTGGCCACAGCCACTGCCATGCAGAAAAGTATAATCACTCTTCTTGTACAGAAAATGCCATTCAGGACGACATAGGAGTGGATGACAGATCAGAACGAACTTGGATATGCTTTGAGAATAGAGTGTCGAGGCATTATAACTCTGAGAGTGCTTGGCTGATGACAAGAAACCTGGAGGGATATTTTGAAGGTAAATCAGAAGGAATTGTCAATAACAGAGTTGCTGAGAGTGATGGATGGATGCATGGATGGATGGATGGATGGATGGATGGATGGATGGATGGATGGATGGATGGATGGATGAATGGAAAAAGATACGGAGAAATAAAGGCAAGATGAGAAGTAATTACTTAATGGATGGAGAATTAAGTCAGGCTAGAGGATGGAACAGAAGGTATATAGTAACCGAAAAGAAACAGGAGGGTCAAAATTAATCTTCAGCCTGTGTGGGTCTCACGCAGCTCGCTGACGCGGACCCTCCATGGCCGCTAAGGCAACGCACCGAGCAGCAGCACCGCGGCCAGCGCCGCCAGCCCCGCGCCCCGACACCGCCGCATGCCGCCGCTCCGCCGGCCGAGCCTCGCTGTGCCCCTCAGCCCCGGCTCTGCTGCGGCCGTGCCGCCTCCTCCCAACGCCGCCAGCTCCGCCCCGGCCCGGAGCCCTGCGCCGCCGCTGCTCGGGCTCTCGCCGACTCCGGGCACGGAACGGAGCGGAGGCGAGCGCGGTGCCGGTTTGGCACATCCCTTGGTTTGGAACATCCCTTGGGAAGCAGCCCTTGAAAAGAAAGGGGCCCCGGAAGACTGGATGTACTTAAGAAGGAAACCTTGAAGGCACAGGAGCAGCCTGGCCCTGGGTGCCAAAAGATGAGGAGGTGGAGGAGAAGACCTGCCTGGCTGCAAAGGGAGCATTCCCAGGAACTCAGGGAATAAAATAGGTTGTCTCACTTTGGAAAAGGGCAGGCAGCTCAGGAAGAGTTGGAGAATGTCCTTAGGTAATGCAGAGAGAAAAGTAGAGAGGAGAAAGCTCAGTCAGACCTTGATCTGGCCCATTCTGAATGGGGTAAATAAAGAGTGTTTTTACAAATACATTAACGAGGACCGAGGATAATCATCATCCTTCATTGGACACAGTGGGGAATGTATTCACCAAATACGAGGGAAAGGCAGAGGTGCTTAACACCTTCATGGCCTCAGTCTTCAGGAGTAGGATTGATGATCATCAGGAGAACTGGCCTCCTGATCTGGGAGACTGGGAAGGTAAGCAGCATGGAACCCCTGTAGTCCAGACGGAGGAAGTTAAAGATTTGTTAGGCTATTTAGATGCTCCAAGTGTTTGGGATTGGATGGGATTCTTGCTAGGGAGATCAGGCAGCTGGGGCAGAAGCTCTTTATGCCAGTGCTGAGAAGAGGGACAGAGGAAGGTGCAAGAGGTCATCTGAAGACCCTCACTCATTTGCCTGTCGATTGCCATGAGAAGGAAACACACACCCCCCTCCCCCCTTCAGTTCCAGCTTGGAGAAGGCAAAAGTGCAGGTGCAGCTGCTGCTGCACCGTCACGCCTGCTGCTCCAAATGAGGCCTGGCAAGAACTTGGCAAGGAGTTGGCAAAGACCCAGCATGGACCCAGCACAGGGCGGCTGCTGCAATTCCTGGTCACTCTCCACCTGAAAGCCGAATTAACTGGTGGGGTGGCTCTGGTGGTCTCCCACTGAAGACCCCTCATCTGCCTTGCTACTACCAGGACAGACGGAGATCCAGAAACCTCTCCCCAGAGACTGAGACTGAGACCCCTACAACAGAGTGGGGGGGAGGGGGGGGAGAGAATGACATGACCTGTTCTTCTCCAGTAACTTCAATGGACTTATTCTTCATTGTGTTCATCCTGCCTGGATGATTTTCAGTAGATTCACCTGTTCCCCCTCACAGCAATTTCAATAGACTCTCATTGTTCTGCGTGTTCTCCCCTTTTTCCCTCTGTGGACTATGATTGGACCCTGGGTTGGGTAGGACTTGGGAGATTCTCCTCAACACAATAAGACAGATCCCCATCGTCCAGACCAGTGAGGGCCTCTCCTGTGTTGGTATCTATTCCCATCCCCCTTCTCTCTGTCTCTCTCACTATCCTTCTTAATTCTTTTCTGACTGCAATATCGCATTTCTTGTTTTCGCCCCTAATAAAAGTGCATCTGTTGTGATTAAACTGATAGTCCCCTGCTGTTTGTCTTTTGCACTTTGAGACCGGCTAACGAACCATCACGACACCCCGCTATAAGCGGATCGTGACAGAAGGTCGGTGACACCACGACGGAGCTGCCGTTGTTGGTGCCGGTGTCGGTGTGGATGCCGGAGTCGGTATGGGAGTCGGTGTCAGTGCTGGTGCCGGTCCCATTGCCGGTCCCAATGCCGGTGCCGGTCCCATTGCCGGTCCCATTGCCGGTGTCGGTCCCATTGACGTCCCATTGCTGGTGCTGGTGCCGGTCCCACTACCGGTGCCGGTCCCTGTCCCATTGCCGGTCCCATTGCCAGTGCCGGTCCCATTGACGTCCCATTGCCGGTGCCGGTCCCTGTCCCATTGCCGGTGCCGGTCCCATTGCCGGTGCCATTGCCGGTCCCATTGCCGGTGCCATTGCCGGTCCCTGTCCCATTGCCGGTCCCATTGCCGGTGCCGGCCCCATTGCCGATCCCTGTCCCATTGCCGATCCCATTGCCGGTCCCATTGCCGGTCCCATTGCCGGTGCCATTGCCGGTGCCGGTCCCTGTCCCATTGCCGTTGCCGGTCCCTGTCCCATTGCCGGTCCCATTGCCGGTCCCTGTCCCATTGCCGGTCCCATTGCCGGTCCCATTGCCGGTCCCATTGCCGGTGCCTGTCCCATTGCCGTTCCCATTGCCGGTCCCTGTCCCATTGCCGGTGCCGGTGCCGGCAGCTCCCCGGGGTCCCGGGCCGAGCGGGGCGAGGCGGCCCCGGCGGGCGGAGCGGCAGCGCCCCCTGCTGGCCCCGCCCGGCCCCGCCCGCGGCGGTTCGTGCCCGGCCGCAGCCCCGGCTCCTCTGCCCGTGGGCCCAGCGCGCAGTAATACACGGCCGCGTCCCCGCGCCGGGGCCCACCGAGCCGCAGCGCGCTCCAGCGCCGGTCTGCCGACACCCACAGCTCTCCTGCAATGCCCGGCAGCTTTCTGGAGTCTTTCATAGTGAGTGCGAGGAGTTCGGGTCCCCGGCCCGGGAGCTGACGGTACCACTGGATGTAATCGCTGGTCTGGATTTTGGGATGTGAGCAGGTGATGTTGATGCTGGTGCCTTCGGTGGTCTCCAGTGACGGCTCCTGCTGTACCTGCGCTCTGGCCACAGCCACTGCCACCGGGAAAAGAACAATCAATTTTCTTTCACAGAAAACGGAGGGCGAGATGGGAAAGGGGACAGATCAGTGTTACCCGAGATATGTCTCGAGAATAGAGTATGAAGGGATTATTTATTGGAGAGTGTTGGGCTAGGGACACGAAACTATGAAGGGTATTTAGACGGACAACTTCAAGTTCTACGGGAAGAACTGAATGAGTAAAATAGATTTCCCTGGAGCAAGGAAGGAAGGGAGGGAAGGAGGGAGGGAGGGATGGAAGGATGGATGGATGGAAGGACAAACGGATGGATGGATGGATGGATGGATGGATGGATGGATGGATGAAAAAATGAAGTAAAAAACGCAAACTGGCTGGGAGGACTTCAGTGAGGCAAAAAAAAAAAAAAAACCAAAACAACCCATGACAGTAGAGGAGGGGACACGGAGCAAACAAGAACTGAGACGGAGAAAAGGAGTTACAGATGAAACTTAGGGAGAGAGGAGTCTCACACAGCCCCCCGACCACCCCCACCGCTTCCTTCCCCGCGCACCGAGCAGCAGCAGCGCGGGCAGCGCCGCCAGCCCCGCGCCCCGACACCGCCGCATGCCGCCGCTCCGCCGGCCGAGCCTCGCTGTGCCCCTCAGCCCCGGCTCTGCTGCGGCCGTGCCGCCTCCTCCCCAACGCCGCCAGCTCCGCCCCGGCCCAAATCAGCCCCCGCCTCTCCCCGCACCAGCACCCTCAGCAGCGACACCAGGACGTTTGGCCTGGCCAGCGACAAGAGCCAGCTGTGTCCCATCGCACACAGCAGCCACACCGCGTGGGAAGCAGATCCACCCCGCACCCATCTGCAGCGGGAGCTGCCGGCCCCGCTCGGCTGCGCTCAGGCTCTGTGGGAGCCTGGGAAGCTGCTGCTCTGTGCTCTGCAGGGCCACAGCGCTGCTCGGGGCCTGGCAGGGACAGCAAATTCCCTCCCGGAGGGGCAGCTCCAAGAGCTCACAAGGCAGGAACACACAACCAGCCCTGGGCTCTGCTGAGGACATGTGGGGCCAAAAGCAGCAGGGCTGGACTGTGAAAGGAAAAGGTACCGCGCAAGCACAGGAGAGATTTTTTTTCTTTCTTTAGAGAGTGCACAATGCAGAAATGAGTCAAAATACTGCAAAACAGTTTTGCAATGGATGTGCTACGATGCATGGGGTCAAAACCATCAGACCATAGTACACACATGCTGAATGCAACTTCTTGTGAGCATTAGGGCTGAGATCAGGGTCCCTTCTCCAAGCTCAGCCCTGCCCTGACACATCCCCTCCCTGCCCGGGGTTCTTGCACAGCCGAGGCAGCTCCCTGCACCAGGGTGTCTTGCAGAGCACAGAGGTACAAGGCACTGTCAGAGAGCTCCACTTCCTCCAGCTGCAGGACACTGGATTTGCCCGTGGTGTTCAGGTACGTGGTGATCCGGCCGCTGTGCTTGCGGCCAGACCCTACTTGATAGGAGAGCAGCTGTGGGGCTTGGCCTTTCTGCAGCTGGTACCAGTGCAATCCCCTAAAATAACTGCTCTGGTATTTGCAGGTGGTGTGGAAGGGGTGTCCCTGCTTCACCGTGACTGGTCCATCATCCTGGGTGACCGTTTCCTGCCCCGTGGCGCCTGGAAGAAAATGTTGGTTAGCTGCTCCACAGGGAAAGGCACCAGGTAGGATAAACAAAGTGGTTGCAAAACCAGTCTGCAAAACAAAATGTGCAGGTGGACAGGTGAGAGCTGTTTTGGGCAGGATTTCAGAGCTCTCAGCACGGCAGGACCCTTAAAAGAGCTGCTCTGTGTCCCTGCTCCTACATCAGCTTCATAGACGACCGTGAACAACCTAAATTTTAGTTGCTCAAGCAGGCTGAGAAACCCGTCGAGGTACAGCAAAAGGCTTCGTGCTGCTTACCCTTCCCTGTGACTCATCCCTGTCAATTCTGAGGATTGCTCAATCCCTGAGTACACACAATGGTGATCTTGGAAACAGGGACGCGCTGGTTGTGCTGGCAGCCCAGAGAACTCTGGAAGCCGCGGCAGCGCTGTGTCAGCCTGGAGGCAGAATGGGATGCCCCATTAATAGAATGAAATTAAAAGCAGTGCGGTGCCTGAGGCAGCTTTGACGGGATGAGGGAAATTACATTAAAATAGGAAGAATGTGGGATTGCAGAGATAGAGGAGATCTGAGGTGACGAGAAATGGATCAGAGGAGAGAGGAAGAGAAAGATGGATTGAAAGTTAGAGAAAAGACAGAGAAGTTGTCTGAGATTTCTCTCTCTTCCCTTTTCCCTTAGAAATCAAAGAATTTCTTGAGCAGACACTTGCAAAACCACTAAGAGGACCCGATTTTTCTCTGCCTTCCACCTCTAACCACTGATATTTCCCAAATGGTCCTGATAAGGGTGTTGAGGATTTCCTGCGGGTAAGAAGAAGAGGAAGAGAAGAAGGGTTCCCTGGGGAAGAGCCAGGACTTACCCAGGAGCTGGGCCAGCAGGACGCTGAGGATGAGACATGCGAGGTGCATGCCGAGAGCGAGCTGCGTGTTTGCTGAGTGAGGAAGAGTCCGAAACGCGCGGCAGCCCCGAGAGAACGGAGCTGCCGGGAGCGACTCTGGGCGGGGGCAAAGGCAGCAGCGGCGGGAGCAGGCAGAGCAATGCCCTGTCCTTGCAGCGCCTGAAATGCTCCTTGGGCGTTTCTCGCTCCTCCAGCAGCAGCCGCCGAGGCTCCCTCAGCCATCGGCCCCGGGAGCATTCCGTGCCTCTGGGGCCTCGCTCATGGCAAGGGGCTGTTCCCGCTCAGCTCGCAGTGGAGTCCTCAATTAGAAGCTGGAGAGCTCTGAGCTCCCCACTGCTCTCCTTTAACACCTACTGCCAGACTGGTGTCATTGTGTGCTTTGTTCATCACTTTCCCTGTTCCTTGTTCTTCACTTGGAAAGGAAAATGGACACGATGTGAACCTCAGAGAACCAGACACCCTCACCTTTCACATGCCCTGACTGTGGCCTCTGCTGAACTTCCTCAGCCCAAGGAGCTCCTGAAGATGCTGAAAGGCTCCTGTCCCCAAAGGAACTGGGGTCGCTAGAACAAGTGTTGGAGAGAAACCTGATGTCGAGCTCAGTCCTTCAAGTGTCTCCCCACAACACTTGCAACATTTCTAAATCCTGGCATTTGTTCCTGTGGATGCTTGGCAGGTTACTAACGTGAAGGGAAAGGAACAAGTAGTTTCAGGGGGAAGGTGGTTGCAAAGGGGTGATTCGATGATTTGAAATGCTCCTCTACTACTCCTTCCTTCCTGGATATTCTACTGTTTCAGGAATGTGCTGAATGCACAGCCATGAGTGTTTGGGGGAAAGTGAGGATGGGAATGAAACATGTAGAGAAGAGATTTCCAGGCTCAGGAGGGATAGACGGCACACCTGATTTACACATCCAGGTGAGAATGCTGCTTCATATGACACTTGCAGTATGGAACAGAGACATTTCTGCATCGACAGAGATGGGGATTCCTTTGTGACATCAGAAAGCCTGACTGCAAACCCCACTCATGTCATGACCCACTGAGGTGACAGCACTCCATGAATTAGCCCCTGTGGGCCTGTCAGTGCTGCTCCTTGGTCAGCTGCCATCCCGGGTGTCAATGGTTACTGGTGTCAATGTCAATACTGGTGTCTATGCCGGTGCCGGTCCCATTGCCGGTGCCGGTGCCAGTGCCGGTCCCACTGCCGGTGCCGGTGCCGGTCCCATTGCCGGTCCCATTGCCGGTGTCGGTGCCGGTGCCAGTGCCGGTCCCACTGCCGGTGCCGGTCCCAGTCCCATTGCCGGTCCCTGTCCCATTGCCGGTCCCATTGCCGGTGCCGGTGCCGGTCCCATTGCCGGTGCCGGTGCCATTGCCGGTCCCATTGCCGGTGCCGGTCCCATTGCCGGTGCCGGTCCCATTGCCGGTGCCGGTGCCGGCAGCGCCCCGGGGTCCCGGGCCGAGCGGGGCGAGGCGGCCCCGGCGGGCGGAGCGGCAGCGCCCCCTGCTGGCCCCGCCCGGCCCCGCCCGCGGCGGTTCGTGCCCGGCCGCAGCCCCGGCTCCTCTGCCCGTGGGCCCAGCGCGCAGTAATACACGGCCGCGTCCCCGCGCCGGGGCCCACCGAGCCGCAGCGCGCTCCAGCGCCGGTCTGCCGACACCCACAGGCGGCCGTCAATGGCTGGCAGCTCTTTGGAGCCTTTAGCACTGACCCCCAGGAGTTCGGGCGCTTGACCCGGCCGCTGACGCAAGAAGTAGACAAAATCGCCGGTCCGGATATTGGGGTGTGAGCACTTGATGGTGATGCTGGTGCCCTCGGTGGTCTCCAGGAATGGATCCTGCTGCACTTGGGCTCTGACCGCAGCCACTGTCAGGGAGACAAAAGGAATAAATCTCACCTCCTACTTTCTATCCAGCTCTGCCTGCCAATCTCTAGAACAAAGCCCGGAGAAGCAGTCAGGAACACGGAGAGATGAGGAGGAAAACAGTTCCCAGAGGATGTCAAGATCCGCAGCAATGGAGGTGTCCAGGAATTGCTTGTGGAGAGACGCATGCTAGAATGATAGAGAGAATAGGAGGGTCACTAGAGAAAGGGAGGATGCGGGAGAAAGCACACAAAGAAAAGAAGAAAAGTAACAAGGGCAAAGGACTGACTTCATGAGTTACAAAGCAGGAATGCTTGTGGTAGTTCTGCATAGTTTGGGATGGAGAAAAGGGAGGGGTGAACGGGAGAACAGCTGTCGGAAAGAAATCTCTGAAGAAGCCAGGCAGGACAGCAGCCTGCCGGGACCTACGGGATCCCTCCATCCCCAGACCGCGACCCCCCTCCTGCACCCCCGCGCACCGAGCAGCAGCACCGCGGCCAGCGCCGCCAGCCCCGCGCCCCGACACCGCCGCATGCCGCCGCTCCGCCGGCCGAGCCTCGCTGTGCCCCTCAGCCCCGGCTCTGCTGCGGCCGTGCCGCCTCCTCCCAACGCCGCCAGCTCCGCCCCGGCCCGGAGCCCTGCGCCGCCGCTGCTCGGGCTCTCGCCGACTCCGGGCAGGGAACGGAGCGGAGGCGAGCGCGGTGCCGGTGGGGCGGCGCTCGGGGCTCCGCGCGTCGGGAGCGGCGGGGCCGGGCTGGGATGGTTGAGAAGCTGCAAAGGCATTTGGGGGGGTTGGGAATGTGGGGTGGGAGGAAGAAATCCCGGGAATACCTCTTGGGAAATCTGGGCCTGCCTCAGTTTCCCCTGGGATGAATTCCCGGTGGGAAAAATTCTGGGGATAATGGGAAAAAGGAACCGGGATCCGCGGCTGGAATCGGGAATTGGGGAAAATCGGGAATGGAATCTGGAATGGGGGAAAAGGAACCGGGATCCGGGATGGGGAAAACCAGGAATGGATCCGGGCTGGAATCGGGGATGGGGAAAATCAGGTCTGGAATCGGGTATTGGGGAAAACCGGGAATGGAATCTGGAATGGGGGAAAACCGGGACTGGATCCAGGCTGGAATCGGGGATGGGGGAAAACCGGGAATGGAATCTGGAACTGAGGAAAAAGGAACCGGGATCCAGGCTGGAATCGGGAATGGGGAAAACTGGGAATGGAATCCGGGATGGGGGAAAACTGAGACTGGATCTGGGCTGGAGTTGGGGAAAACCAGGACTAGATAAGAGCGGGATCAGGAATGGGGGAAAACCAGGAATGGAATCCAGAATAGGGGAAACTGGGACTGGATTCGGGCTGGAATCAGGGATGGGGAAAAGTGGGAATGGAATCTGGAATGGGAGAAAATCGGGAATGGAATCGGGAATGGGAAAAAACCAGGACTGGATCCAGGTTGGAATCTGAAATGGGGGAAAACTGAACCCGGATCCAGGCTTGAATCAGGGATGGGAAAAACCGGGAATGGATCCAGGCTGGAATCTGGAATGGGGGAAAACTGGGATTGGATAAGGGTGGGATTTGGAATGGGGAAAATCTGGGACTGGAACCAGCCTGGAATTGGGAATGGGGGTAAAACTGGAATGGGATCAGGGCCAGGATATGGAATGGAGCAAAACCCCAAAATCCAGACAGGATCGGGGGTGAATAGGGATTGGAGGAAAAACCCGGACAAGATAACGGCCAGGATATGGAATGGAAGAAGACCTGAGCTGGATCAGAGCGAGATTTGGAGAAAAACCTGGACTGGACTGAGGCTGGAATGTGGATTTTTGGCGAAAATCTGGACTGGATTACAGTTGATATATGGAATGGGGGAACCTCAGACTGGATCACAGCTGGAATATGGATTTGGGAGAAAACCTGGACTGGATCACAGCCAATATATGGAATGGGGGGAAACTCGGACTGGATCAGAGCTGAGACCTGGAATGGAGGAAAACCCAGACTGGATCACAGCTGGAATATGGATTTTTGGGGGAAAATCTGGACTGGATCGCAGTCAACATACGGAATGGGGGAAAACCTGGACTGGATCTGGGTGGGATATGGTAGGAAGGAAAACCTGGATTGGATAACAGCCAGCATATGGAATGGAAGGAAACCTGAACTGGATCCAGCCAGGACATGGAATGGGGGAAAACCTGGGCTGGATCAGGGCTGGGAAACAGAATGAAAGGAATCCCATTTGGCATCTTTTATCCCATTTAACTCCCTGGACCCTCGCCAGGGGCGTTGGGATGCACAGGAGTTGTCAGGAACAGGATCCAACCCACAGAGGGAAAAAAATTCTCTTTCCCAAGAAATGTTTTTAAATTTCTCTGGTGCAGGTACAGTTCCAGGGGGTATAGCTCAGTGGCAGAGCATTTGACTGCAGATCAAGAGGTCCCTGGTTCAACTCCAGGTGCCTCCTCTTTTTTTTCCCCTTTTCCTCTTCTTTTTGCCCAAAATTTGGCACAGGAAAAATCCATGGAAAGCTCTGAGCTGGTGGGGTGCTGGTTCTGAGCTGCAGCATGCAAGGAACAGAGGCTCTGCTGCTGGAAAAGTTTTGGGGCTGTGCTCTGCTCTGTGCTTCATTCTCTGCAAACACCACCAGAATTTCTTTAAAATTTTATTTACTAAATTGTTTGGATGATTTTATGTAGTAATTCTTTATTTTAGTTCTTCAATTCTATTAAAAATTTAATTTTTAAGGTCATTGATCACCTTGAACTGCCTGTAGCTTTGCCAGGCACTCCCTGGAGCTGTCAAGGGAAGAAATCCAATCCTGGACAACAAAACTTTTTAATTTCCCAACAAATATTTTTAATATGTCCTTGTGTCAGGGGGTATAGCTCAGTGGTAGAGCATTTGACTGCAGATCAAGAGGTCCCTGGTTCAACTCCAGGTGCCCCCTTTTTTTCCCCCTTTTCCTCTTAATTTTGCCAAAAATTTGCCAAAGGAAAAATCCATGGAAAGCTCTGAGCTGGTGGGGTGCTGGTTCTGAGCTGCAGCATGCAAGGAACAGAGGCTCTGCTGCTGGAAAAGTTTTGGGGCTGTGCTCGTCTCTGTGCTTCATTCTCTGCAATCACCACCAGAATTTATTTACTAAACTATTTGTCTGATTTTATGTATTATTTCTTCATTTCAGTTATTAAATTGTATTAAATATTTAATTTTTAAGATCATTTATCACTTTGAACTGCCTGTAGCTTTACCAGGCACTCCCTGGAGTTGTCAAGGGATGAAATCCAGTCCCCGGACAACAAAATTTTTTAATTTCCAAAATAATATTTTTAAATTTCCCTGGTGCAGGTGGTGTGGCAGGGGGTATAGCTCAGTGGTAGAGCATTTGACTGCAGATCAAGAGGTCCCTGGTTCAACTCCAGGTGCCCCCTCTTTTCCCTTGGAAAAATGAGGAAGATTCCTCCTTTTTTATACCCCCAGTGTCTGTGCCTGCGCTCACACAAATCACAAAAAATTCCCTGGAGGGGTTTGGTAGATACCAAGTTTGCATTTTGTACCTCTTCCAAAAGGAAAAGAAATGCAGAAGTTACCTTTGAAAGCCTTGAAAATCTTCTGAGGTCGGTAATTTTTGTAAAATTAAGATGAGGATTTGATCCCATTTATTACTTAGCCAGGTGTTTCTTTTCCTGCAGGCTCAAGGACTATAATTAGCAATTAATAGTTGAATTCCTTAATTAGAACACATTTTTCTGGGAAAAATACAGAATTTTGTCTCATGTTTAAAGCTCTTGTGTGGTGCTCATTTTCTTTCTCGTGTACCAACAAAGGGCTGGCAGCTCCAGGATTAAAAACTGAGCCAAAAATCCAAATTTTGGGACAGTGACAGAGCCCGGACTAAATATTTGTTTTTGTGCAGATTTGGGAGAAAATTTGGGAGATTTTCCTGCAGTGGGAATAAAAGATGAGCTGGGTTGAAAGGATTTTATTTATTATTCTTTTTTTCTATGCATTAGGACAGGGGGTATAGCTCAGTGGTAGAGCATTTGACTGCAGATCAAGAGGTCCCTGGTTCAACTCCAGGTGCCCCCTCTTTTTCCCATTTTCCTCTTCTTTTTGCCCAAAATTTGGGACAGGAAAAATCCATGGAGAGCTCTGAGCTGGTGGGGTGCTGGTTCTGAGCTGCAGCATGCAAGGAACAGAGGCTCTGCTGCTGGAAAAGTTTTGGGGCTGTGCTCGTCTCTGTCCTTCATTCTCTGCAATCACCACCAGAATTTCATTTAAAATTTTATTTACTAAATTATTTGAATGATTTAATGCATTAGTTTTTTATTTCAGTTATTAAATTCTATTAAATATTTAATTTTTAAGATCATTGATCACTTTGAACTGCCTGTAGCTTTACCAGGCACTCCCTGGAGCTGTCAACTGACGAAATCCATATCCCTGGACAATAAAACTTTATTATTTTTCTATAAATATTTTGAATTTCTCTGGTGCAAGTACTGTGTCAGGGGGTATAGCTCAGTGGTAGAGCATTTGACTGCAGATCAAGAGGTCCCTGGTTCAACTCCAGGTGCCCCCTCTTTTTTTTTCCCCATTTTCCTCTTCTTTTTGCCCAAAATTTGGCACAGGAAAAATCCATGGAAAGCTCTGAGCTTGAGCTGTGCACTCAGTGCTGGTTCTGAGCTGCAGCATGCAAGGAACAGAGGCTCTGCTGCTGGAAAAGTTTTGGGGCTGTGCTCTGCTCTGTGCTTCATTCTCTGCAATCACCACCAGAATTTCATTTAAAATTTTCTTTATTAAATTATTTGACTGATTTTATGTATTATTTCTTTATTTCAGTTTTTCAATTCTATTAAAAATTTAACTTTTAAGGTCATTGATCACCTTGAACTGCCTGTAGCTTTACCAGGCACTCCCTGGAGCTGTCAAAGGATGAAATCCAATCCCTGGGCAATAAAATTTTTAATTTCCCTATAAATATTTTGACTTTCCCTGGCCCAGGTGTGAGGGGGTATAGCTCAGTGGTAGAGCATTTGACTGCAGATCAAGAGGTCCCTGGTTCAACTCCAGGTGCCCCCTCTTTTGCTGCTTTTCCCCCTTTTCCCTCCACAGATTCCTCACACTCAGACCATGGGGAGCTTTTCTTACCCCTCTGAGGTGCTGGAAATTAATTGGTGATTTTTTATAAAGCCTGAACTTCTCCCACTTTGGCGTGCTGAGTTCTGCAGGAAAAACAAAAACTCGAGAGCTGCAGCTGGAGTTTTTATTGTTGGAGTTGTTACTCTTAATTTACACAGTGAATTATGTGAATTATTATTTCTTACCCCTCTGAGGTGCTGGAAATCACTCAGTGATTTTTTACCAAAACTTCTCCCACTTTGCTGTGCTGAGTTGTTCAGGAAACACAGAAACTCAAGAGCTGCAGCTCGAGTTTTTCCTGCTGGAGTTGTTAATTTACACAGTGAATTATGCACACAGTGAATTATATGTTACACAGTGAATTATATGTTACAGAGTGAATTATGTGTTACCCAGGGAATTATGTGTACAACGCGTTTCCAGCAGCCACTTTGGAGTAATTACCCTTAATTTCCGGGCTGAATAATGAATATAACTCGTTCTTTGCTCAGCTGTTTCCTCCGGGGGCAGCCCCGGGGCTCGAACCCGTGACCCTGGGGCCCGCAGGCGGCGGCGCTGCCCCTGAGCCACGCCCGGGCCGCGGGGATGGGGCGGCGCGGGGGGGGCGCGGCGGGAGGGTGGCGCAGGGGC